TGCCTCTACAAGTACAGGATCTGCAATGCTTAAGTCGACCGGCGAGATGCTATACAACCCATATAAGGAATACACATCCAGTCGTTCTCCAAAGCCACCAATATCACGGAGTGGATCTGCACTTTCTACAACTATAACATCGTCGTCTTCTAGATCTCTCACGGCTCTTTCCGAGGCAAGTAGGCGGCCTTCTGAACTGATGCATACGGATACTCCTACCAACGATGGGCCCAATAAAAACGCGTTATCAACGGCAGGAAGTATGGCTGGAGCTTCTCTGAAGGGCTTTGGCAAGTTCACCGGAGCATACTTCAAAGGCGTGGTGGTAGACATTCCCTATGCTGCTGCTGAGGGTTTCAGACAGGTTCCTCGACTCTATGGAGAGGAACCTAAGCAGTATGGCACAGTTCGTGATTGGAAATCTGGTGCTACTATGGGCGGCAAGAACTTTGTCGATGGCATGACAGATGGATTTAAGGGGTTCTTCTCTCAGCCCATCAAAGGCGCGAGGGAAGAGGGGGCGCTAGGGGCCGTTAAAGGATTCGCAAAAGGGACCATTGGACTGGCGACTAAAGTTCCTTCGGGTAAGTACAACATTCTCCGAATAGATGCCCACCTCGTATAGAATGATCGCTGATTGGTATCCACGTATAGCTGGAATTGGGCTTGTCGCGTACCCTTTTCAAGGCATCGCGAAAACAATTGAAGCAGCCGTCAGGTCTAAGACAGGGAAGGCGATCCTTCTTGCCCGACTCAGAGATGGATACGCCATAACAGATCGAGCCCACATGCCGGAGGATGAGCAACAGTATCTCCTGCGGAGGTTCCAGGCTTTAACTGGTTGATGAAACACGATATCTCTTGGAACTTTGCTTCTGTAAGCCGGGGTGACATAACTACCATGTAGCCGTGAGCTGGACACTACTAGTATATATATATATTAATATGATCTTTCCCACCTACGGAGTGCTTATCAATGTAACGTATTTATTTCCAGATGGACTTGCAATGAGCCCCGATGAGTGCTCGCCAAGAGCGTCCAGAATAGACACAGAAGGGTGCCAACCAAGAAGAGATAACGTCCTTCTATCGGGCCCGCATCTGCCACTCACTAACTCCTTCCTTCCTCCGAACGGCAATGTTACAAGATTACAGATTCAGCAACAGACAGCCCTTGCAGACACTGACAATATCAGAGTGATAAGACCGCTAGTACTTGAGCAGCAGCGCAGTGCAGCATCTGAGGGTCTCAGCGAGCGCGACAAGCTCACATGATGTTGCCGGTATTGAACACTATGATCCGCAGCGTATAATGCTCATCAAAGTGTACTTTCGCTGACCTTTTGATCGCGTTCCTGCATCACTTTTGCATCCCACAGCCTATCTGATTTGATATCGTAAGTCAATGTTGGTGCGACTCGATTTAGTAGCAGACCTAAAAACTGGACAAATGTGGGCTGATCTTGCTGTCACGAAAAGCCAGGAACAAATGTATCTCACCTACCATGCCTATAATATTGGCGCCAATGGCCCCGTGAAGTACTTGTGTCGTATCAAAAGCAATTTTATCTTCTCTCCGAGAGTTATTTCCTGGGCTAGCGACTTTTTACGGACGACATATTACAATGTTTGATTATATTTCATACAAGAAAACGACTGCTTCAGGAGATCATAGAGACCTGAAAGAGAAGGCATGGAATTGTTTCTTCCTTCGCAGCAGTAACGTCGCCTTTGTCACTAAAGGATTGAGTACTACTGGATGTGATTCCCAGCTTGACTCCATAGAAAAGCTGGCAGGCGTCTCGCTTTCGCCTTGAGACTGATCAGCAGGGCTTCCCCAAATATGAAACGTGAGCCTTGGCCTATCGATAATTGGATTATGTGTCATTCAAGGAATCTGCCAGTTGCTGAACCCTATTGGATGTTTACATCTGCTAATCAGAGGAAAGTGGAAAATGCGTCTCTGCTCAGATTCCTGGTTCGATGTACAAAATTTGGGCATATTGTCGTGCATAAGGTGACAGGAGATAGCGTCCGATACCAAACTAGGACGGGAAGGCATCGCCGAGACATTCACCAGATTGCTTATCACTTGTCCACATTAGCGTGCAACCAATTCCGTGACAATCCGGCTTTCATCCATTGCCCCTGCAGGGCTAAATTGGTCTTAATTTCTATCCGGGCCTGACGCAAGCCTGTCCTCCAATCGGCAGCACGAGGGCCTCGGCATGCCCTCGCTGTCATGGAGCCCACGCTGCCCTATCTCCACCGGCTATTTACCCACCATTCAATCATTGCGGAGCTCGGAAGAACGTGCAGAAAGGCGGAACCATTTTCATCCGCATCCATTTAGTGTCATATGGATGATCTATGCGATATGCGTTTGAACAGGTGATCAGGGGGTACTGGCAGAGGCACCACCCTCCATGGGCTATGATCGTCGGTCCTATATGGTCGAACCTATATAAGGCGCGCAACAAACCCTTGGCTTTGGGCTGTTGAACAGCAACTCCGTCTGTTGCACCAATCTTGGTAATAGGCTAAATGAGAATTTCAGGCTTATTGTGTTTTGGGGCCCTTGCCGGTGTTGCTCTCGCATCTACCGAGACTGGGATCGCCAAAAGGTCGACAGTCAGCGAGATCTTGACTGATATCGAGGATGCTGCCACCTGTGCGGCATGTGAGGTCTGTCGCCCCACTGGGTAATTTGATAACAGCGCTTGATGCTCACTCTTCGCACATACTCGTAGGCTCTTCTTGTTGTTCTGCAGGCCCTTGCACACTTGGGCAATGATGACTTTGTCGATGTGATCACGGAAGTCTGCATCTTAGCTGGGGTAGGCTTCCAAATCACTTCTCTGTTGAACCAGGCTAAATTTTCCAGGTTGATGACGACGATGTCTGTGAGGGTGCAATTGCCCGTGAAGGCCCAATCTTGGCTCATGACTTGCGCAACATGGACGTTCCGTCAAAGACAGCAGTTCTATTCTGTACAACTATTTTCGGGCTGTGCGATTACCCTGCAGTGGCCGAATATACTGTGGATTTCCCATCTGCCAAACCCGCAAATGCGTCACGTCCGACACCAAGCGGAGAGACTCCTCTGCAAATTGTCCACATCAGCGACATCCACGTCGATCTTTCGTACGAGACTGGCGCTAAGTATGCGATCTTCACCCCCTGTGGGAAGACAACAACTAACCATTCTGCCAGCTACAACTGCACCAAGCCCATTTGCTGCCGTCCCTATACTTCCTCCGACGACCCAGGTGTGACAGACTACCCGGCCGGCGAATACGGAAACCATAACTGCGATGCCCCCCTCACACTGGAGGAGAGCATGTACTCAGCTATCAACGACCTCGTTCCTGACGCCTCGTTCGTCATATTCACCGGCGACGTCGTCGAAGGTGCCGTCTGGCTAGTCAACGAAACCGAAGTAACCAACGACTTAAACGATGCCTACAACTCCCGAATGGCCGAATATTTCGACCTTGTCTACGGCGTCACCGGTAACCACGATTGCGCCCCTGTAAACTCCTTCCCACCAGCGGATATCGACACCACCATCTCCAGCCAGTGGGCCTACGACACCCTCTCCTCCGACTGGAGCCAATGGATCGGATCCACCGCCGCCAGCACAGCCGATGACTACGGCGCCTACTCAGTCAAATACTCCGGCGGCAACCTGCGCCTCATCTCCTTCAACACCAACCTCTACTACAAAGAAAACTTCTGGCTCTACGAGAAAACCATGGAAAAGGACCCCAGTGGCCAGCTCGCCTGGCTCGTCGACGAGCTCTCCGCAGCAGAAACAGCCGGCGAACGCGTCTGGCTAATGGGCCACATGCCAATGGGATCCGGCGACACCTTCCACGACGCCTCCAACTACTTCAACCAGATCATCCAGCGCTACGACGCCACCATCGCCGCCGTCTTCTACGGCCACACCCACAAAGACGAGTTCGAACTCGCCTACTCCAACTACACAGACCAGTCCGCTGACACCGCATCCATGATGTCCTACATCATGCCCGCCATGACCCCCACCTCCGGTAACCCTGCGTTCCGCGTCTACTCCGTCGACCCCGTCACCTTCGGCGTCCTCGACTTCACCGAATACATCACCAACATGTCCAGCTCAACATACCAGACAAACCCCACCTGGGAGAAATACTACTCTGCTAAGGAGACCTACGGATCGCTACTTGACCCGCCCGTTACTGACAGTGCCGCGGAACTAACCCCGGCTTTCTGGCACAATGTCACGGTGCTCTTCGAGAACGATGACTCCGTCTTCCAGGATTATTATGCCCGTAAGAGTCGTGGATGGGATGTCTCCGACTGCACAGGGGATTGTAAGACGGATGAGATCTGTCAGTTGCGTGCTGCTGAGTCGCAGTATAATTGTGTGGAGATTACCCCTGGGATTAGCTTCAAGAAGCGGGATGCTATCACTACTAGGGATACGAGCACGAATCCCAGGGAGAGTACCTGTGGTGAGTCGGTGGTGGGTCAGATGTTTTCGAGCTTTGATAATGCTGTCGAGGCGCTGATTAAGGCTACGGAGACGAAGCTGGGCTCGGGGTTCCTTAATACTACGGTTAACGCGACTGTTTCTTAAAATGTGTGCGGGGGAGGGGTGGTGTTTCGTCCGGTGTTGTGGTTGGGAGTGTTGGTGTGTTACTAGTTGTGATTATGAAAATGAATAATCTTGAAGACAGACTGGCGCTGGATTGCCCATACCCAATTTCCATTTGATACACTTGTCTAGTCGATTGGGTTTCTCTTCCATATGTCTTCTGCAGCCAATCTTCAGAATTGCAGAGTAATAATGAGCTACATAAGTTAAGTATTGAGGGCATCAATCGTAATCAAAACTCCAAAAGCCGCAAGCAACTTGAAACACCCCACTATCTCTACTAACAATAGTCATCTGGGGATGATTCCTTCAGCATAGTTTGAAGTCTGCCAACGTCTCGAACCAGCGTGACAGCTCGTCAAGGTGTAAATGTGATCGATGTCCCAGTTTCACCAGGCCCGTCGTTCAATTGCAGGCTGTGCAGTACCACTTTGAAGAGGCCCCAGGGATGGCATGGAACGATGAGAAGATTCCTCGGGGTCGTATCAATTCTATGCCAGCCTCGACTCTGCAGAATCTGTCTGATGTTGCAAAGATCCCTGAAAATGAACTGCCATGTGTGCTGTAAGATGTAGTGCATATCGAGGAATGGGGTTCCGATGAGAGGAACGAAAATCAATCCAGGGCAAGATCCAAAGAAGGTGTACCCCATTTCATTCGTTACTTGCCATGCCATCGTAACAGTACCAAGCAGTTTGGGGATATGTCCCACTTGAAGGTCACGAAGATTGTTGTACGCTTGCAGTTCCGTCTCGTAGTAATACATCATGGCCCTTTGGAGATGCTCTTCTCTTTGATTCAAGCTGAGAGTATTTTGTGGATCTTGACTGCCTGCAGGATTACTTGATGGCTGTGCATTCGGCATGGCTGGCCATGACCCATAATACCGATATCCCGCTTCGATGGCATGGCACCAATTCGGACAGCCAAACCTCAATCGCATGCCTGGTGTAAAGCGTCTGTCGAACATTCTGACCTGTAGTGTTCCGCCTAAAGTGCCCAGAGGTCCCTCGACTTGGACGGTCACCGCACACGCCTTCCAAAAGGGTTTATGCACGTCCACAATTCGGCATGTCAATGTTATTGGCTGGCCTTGGAAGTAGTTGACGGAATTCAATATTATAATGTTGCCACGGAAGTAGGGAGTCCTTCGATGGTTATCAAACTGTGCGTTTCATGGTGACAGTCACCTACCCTTCTCCATTGCCGGCACCATATTGCGGAAACCATGGGCGTGAAGGGTCGTAAGGTACAGGTTCTCCTGGAAGGAGCATTCTTCTCTGCTGCATTATAGGAGAGTATAAGAATGAGACAATAGGAATAATTAGGATGTTTAGGTCCGTGTGCGGAAGAAAAAGTAGTAGAGTTGGTTTGTTGAGAAAGGAATAATAAATGAAGTCTAGGCGTTCATCCTGTTCAATAAGGGAGTCGCAACCTTGGTATTTCCCTTGCAAGTTACACGTCTCATACATTCCAATCTTGCAGTACTAACTTCTCATAAATACGGCAGCGACCCTTGCCAGTTCATCCAAGGACGCTCCGTCAGATAGATCGAATAAAACCGGCCTTCGTCGGGTGTGGTCACCAAAGGCTTGAGCTACTTGTGCAACTGTCTCTCCCTCAGAGGAGGGCCCGTAGACTCGCGCCGTAAATCCTTTCTCGATGTCGCCGTCTATCACGGCAGGCCATGGTCTAATGCCATGGCAAAACTTGAAGAAATCAACTGCGAACGCAGCTGCTATCTTCTGCTGCGGAGGAGTCAAGAACTCTCTAAAATTCTGGAACAGGTAAGCGACATCCAATATGTGGCCAGCCTTGCTCTTCCAAGGTCCATCCCAAGGATTTCCCTCGTTGAAGTAGTAGACATTTGTATGCCCTTTCCACCCACGCGTGTATGTCAGCGTTGGCGCCAATATGAAGATATCGTTAAGGTAGTTGAGAACCGCAGGGAAAGCCTCATCGTCCGTAGTTTCGGCAGTCAACCCGTATCCTGCCAATATCTGTGTCGCTAGTTCTTGCTTGGAGGGAAAGACGGAGTGAATGGCTTTCGCAAATCGCCCTGCACATGCGTTCTTCAAATGAGGCAGTAGGATGGCGAGAATGTTGATCTAGAAATGTAAGTGTAAGTTCAAAATACTTGAATATTCGTAATCTCCGACCACTCACATCATACTGGGCATCACCAATTAATAAATCGCGACACCACTGTTTTCCCTTGGGGATATCGCTTGTCTGATCAGCTACCTGTGCATATGTTACGGCAGACGGAACCATATCTCCATCAACCGCAGGAGAAGTTAAAACAGATGGAGGAAGTTTAGCAAGCAGATCTTGGCCCGGTGTTTCCAAAAGGGCCTTGATCCTTTCGTCCGACGTAGCATTTTGCAATCCAAGTGCCGACATCGCGTGTTGATAGTTTCCCTCGTGGGCGTCGTATGGCAGAGCCTGGACAAAGAACCGAGAGCCACTCATCAAAATAGCGCGTTTGAATAGCGGTGTTTCGGAGTCGAGATGGAATGTGACGGAGGCTATACTGTTCAGTTCCCTTCCTTTAGAGGAGAAACGAGAGAAGGCTTACCTGCTCCAGCACTCATCCCAGCGACAGTGATGTTTTCGGGATCCCCTCCAAAGTCTGCAATGTGCCTGCTTACCCATTCTAAAGCCACCCCCTGATCCCGAAGCCCATTGTTGGCTTTATACCCAGCGTTGCGCAGTTCATCGGAGGTCAAGAATCCAAATGGTCCTAGACGATAGCTTGACGATTGTTAAGTAATTTTTGTTTTGTGTATAGCCACAATATATCTACTCACTTGATTGATACCGCAACAATTGGTAGTTCACTTTCAATGGACAACTTGACGAAACGCTCGCAGTCAAACTGAGGCCAGGAATTCGCCCCAATCATGAGACCACCGCCATGGATGAAGACAAAAACGGGAAGTTTCGAATGCGCAGAAGTGCCTGCAGGGACAGCAATATTCAGGTTCAGACAGTCCACATCCGACTGGGTGAGCTCCTTCTTGGGTAGGGTGTGTTGAATCGCGCTGAGTTCCAAGTCACAACCACCTAGGGGTGATATCGCGGTGGGCCTATAAAGACCTCCTTTAGTGTGTGACTGAAAAGAGAAGCCAAGAAGTCGTGCAGCTTTCAATGATCAAATGACTTACCCATCTTTAGTTGCGTCAAGAACGCCTCCAGCGCGCCTTTCGACTATTTCTGCATCTGCAAGTCTATTCTTCAAGGTGGCATACTTGATACCCAAGAACTGGGTGACACCATTCGTGGTTTCCCCGCGAATTTCACCGAGATGTGTAGTGGTCTGGATTATGTTTGACATTGTCTTGATTTATAAACAATGAGAGAGAGGAAAGATGTAGTCGTGGAGAGGAATGGTGTTGATTTGAGTTGATGGCAGTCCGGAGTTAAGGATATAGCAACCCCTCGGAAATCCCCCCGTGCGGATATGCGGGGATCCCCATGTCCATCTTGACTCTTTTTGGTATCACCCTGCCCCCGGCTCTGTTGACACTCGGTCCGATGCTGCAGCTGCTAAGCGACTTCAATCAGACCATGGCTGTCGCGTTGCTTTTGCTGCGGTCAACATAAGGCATGGCCCAACCGCTGCTACTTGACCACGACTTCAACAGTAGTAATCCAGACCCCTACTGTCCTGTCAATGACTTGTAGATATCGTCTACCAAAAAGTTCCATGTCTGGCGTGAAATTACGACTAATTTATATGACGCTCAACTATCATGAATCCAAACTCCGCGATGCACCAAAAAGAGCAAATCTATCAGCACATCAACCAACTGAAAGTTCATGACTGGAAGTTCATGCTATATCCACCCGTCTTCGGATCCTGCACAAAGTTGAAGTTATCTGTCGACAGCCCGAACGGCTTAAGGAATCCATTACCCAGCTATAGTCTGTTAGTACGTCGCTAGATAATTTTGGAGCGCATCGACTTACATCCTTGAGCTTCCCCATCATCTCCCCCATCTCCTTCTCCCTCGCTTGACCGATCTTCGCAGGCAACTCCCGAAGAGCCTTCTGCACAACACGCTTATCGTCCGGTGGAAGATTATCCATCGCAGCCAGTTCCTTATAATCCTCTTCCGCCCCTTGCAGGTTCCCCCAGCCGCCGAGCTGCATTTTCGCCCGCGCCCGTCGCATGAGCGCCTTTGCGCGAATACGCAGCACATCCCGTTTCCTCTCATCTTCTTTTTGTAACCTCTTCAGCTCTTCCTCGGCTTCATCATCATCACCCGTTATCTCGACTACGGCGTCTTCGCCACTCGACTCTTGCGGCTGCTTTCCCTTGACACCCTCCGCATCTGCTGCCCCTGTCGCAGGAGGAATCACCTTATCCAAGCGATCGATGCATGCTGTCGCTGAGTCGACAGACGCTTTCCAGTCTTCGAGTTTTAGATAACATGCGGCCATGTTGCTTCGCAGAACGGCGACTTCGTAGTCGAGGTAGTTGGGGCATGAGGCGAGGGCGCGGTCGTAGCACGAGATAGCTTGGTCATAACACGCTGCGGTAAATAGTTTATTGGCTTCAGCTTTGATGGTATGGGATTCTTCTAAGAGTCGCTAGTTTCCGTATCCATATCAGTATCCTGCTGGTAGTGAGGGGCAGGAAGAAGCTAGGCTCACTCACCGTTTCTTCTTCGGCGGGGAAGCGCGCATCGTGAAACACGTCCTCTTCTTCTTCACCGTCACTGTTAGCCGCATTGTCGGCTTTTTGCTTCGCGTCGTTTGTCATATCTGTCCTGATAGTTTGTAGGCTCACCAAGTGTCTGTAGTCCACTAGTGGTTTGCTCTGCTCTGGTGGTTCCAGAAGCTACTTGCAGCTCCGCGGAGTCGGCGAGTCGGAGTCGGAGATGCCGCTGCCCCTCTTTGCCTAAGGCAACTGATTTCCCCTCCTGCCGATCTCCGATATCCATTCATCGTTAACGGTCAAGGTGCATATTTGCTGTTTACCATCAACGCTGGACGCATTATCCTCGCATTCAGATATTAGAGGCAACCATCTGCAATATGCCTAGCTCAGCCCAAGAGTATGGCTTGAATACCCCCCGTAAATGCCTCTCAATTAGCTGATTGATACCCAGTCTACCCCGCGTGCGGGCATGTCTCTTCGACATGGATGGCCTGCTCATCGACTCGGAGGACAAATACACGGATATCACCAATGCCATTCTTCAGGAATATGGAAAGCCTTTGCTCCCGTGGTCTATCAAGGCTCAATTGCAGGGTCGTCCTCAACCAGATGTAAGTACACTCCCTTCCCCATCCTCCCAGTTCCCCGCTGCAGTTCACTTTATATGCCTCTACCCTCCTTCCCATCTCCTATATTCATTCCTCTGACTGTCCATTCCAGGCCAGCCGTATCTTCCATCAATGGGCCCAGCTCCCCATCTCTCCCGAAGAGTATGCCGCGAAGCAATCCGCCCTTCAGGAGAAATTCTTCCCTCAATCCCAGCCCCTCCCCGGAGTCAGGGAGCTCCTCGCCAAGCTTGTTTCCACCCAAACCACCGACCAGCCCGTGCATCTTGCCCTGGCCACCTCTTCCCACAGCCGCAACTTCAAGCTGAAGGCCAGCCATCTGGGCGAGTTGTTCTCCGCTTTCCCGAAATCCCAACAAGTTCTGGGCGACGATCCCCGCATCGGCAAGGGACGGGGTAAGCCGCTTCCCGATATCTACCTGCTCGCGCTGGAGACTATCAATTCGAGTCTGCGTGAGAAGGGAGAGACTGAGATCAAGCCTGAGGAGTGTCTAGTCTTTGAGGACGCGGTGCCTGGCGTTGAGGCCGGTCGGAGGGCCGGTATGCGGGTTGTTTGGGTCCCGCATCCCGGATTGTTGGAGTCGTATAAGGGGCGTGAGGAAGAGGTGCTGGCTGGGCTTACTGGGGAACATAAGGAAGAGGAGAAGACTGAGCCGGAGCGTGAGGCCGATGAACTGGTCGCCGGTCGGTTGAAGAGTGCCGGTAAGCCCGGTGAGATCGGTGATAGATGGGGTGAGTTGTTGCCTTCTTTGGAGAAATTCCCTTATGAGCGTTATGGAATTAAACCTGCATGATTTCATTTCTTGTCTACCGGGCTATATAGACATGAAGTTTCTGGCAATCTAGAAATGTACAGCCACGTCAGGCAAAGATTTGATACCCGTGAGAAAATAGGAAAAGACTATGTACCCCGAAGGATATCGCAGAAGCAAAAGAAAAAAAGAATCTCAGAAGCAGAAAATTCAAATTAAATCAAATGTGTAAGAACACAACCGTAGCAGAAAATCAAACCCCATAAGCAGCAAATAAAATCAAATTCCCGCGAAATCCACCATATTAGAAAAATGAAAGAAAACAAAAAGGAAACATTAAGCCCCCGAACTCATACAAAAAGTGGAAAGGCATGTACCTGAAGGAAAGCGAAAAAGAAACAAATGTTGAAGCAAATTGAAGCGAAAACAGTGCATGAGACCAGCTCAGCGCCGATTTAATCAAAAGTGTCGACCAAATTGTCGTACACATTAGCCTCAATTTCCCAAAGGGCGCACCTTTTGAACGCGATCTTTCGAAGCAATGTATTAGAGGATCCTGAGTGTAGAGCCAATGCGAACGTATTCCAGTCACGAGAGAAGAGAAGAAAGAAGATGGGTGGTATTCCAATGGCAACGCCAGAAAGCGAGTCGGAGTTGGGTATCATCGACTGGGGTATCACAAAACAACTACAACTGCCAAAAACCTCCACAGATTTCGTGGCTCGTAGATTCGTAGACCAAACTAGATGTAGTAGATGGTATGTCGGTCTTGATTGTATTATGAGGAGTTGTATGTTCTTATAAATCGAGATGAGAGATGTATTCGTAAGACGTAAGTCCTGTTGTCCTTTTCCTGTCTGTCGTAAAAGCCTGTTATCGTCGTAAATATTCGTAAAGTAGATTATTGACAAGCAACTTGTGCTGTCGCGCGCTTTCTGCGTGTAGATATTATGTGTTCTGTTCAGAGTGGTTTGAGAGTTGTATCATAACGAGCACCAAGTTCTTTTCGCGTTGCTGTCGGATGTAGGGTCTGTTATTATGTTCAATTGTTCGTTAAGTGGTGTAATTGACAAGCAACTGGTGTCGTCGGGTCCCTTTTCTATCGTATGAGCCTGTTCGATGATCTTTTCGACGAGTGGTTGTTATGTTTGAGGTGCAATTAATGCTGCCGCTTGGCCGAAGGAGAATCGTCCTCGACGTCCGTTTCTTCCCTTCTGCGCTTACGTGTACCTGAAACAGGACCTGGCATCTGTACTTGATGTCCCATGTGAGGCTGGTGGCCCATCTGGGATTGGTGGCCCATCCGAGGTTGGTGTCCCATTTGGACTGGATTTCCCATCTGTTGTGGGTATCCCATCTGTGAGTATGGATGAGATTGCGAAGCGAGCTGGTTGTAATTTACCATCAAGTTCCGTCCCAACAGGGTGTTGATTGTTTGCTCTGGATTGTACGGATGAGGAGACGCCTGGGCGGTTGGAGGCATTGTGACGGACCCAGCATTTTGTCTTGGGTGAGAGGTTGGGCCCATCATTCGGTTGTTGTAAGCTTGAGCAGCGGCAACTCTGTTCAAAGGTACCGACTGGTAACCCTGTGGGCCTGGTCTGACTTGTGGAACAGGTGTAGGGGTTCCTGCGCTCATCGCCGTTTGGTATCTAACTTTGTTGGTGGAGGCCATGATATTCATCTGCTGGGACGCGTTGGATGGAGTGGCAGGGGGAGGGTTTCTTCCGGTCGCTGCAATATTGCCAGGGGTGTTGTTTGGGGTCATTGCAGCACCGGCGTTGTTTACTGGAGGCGCGGTAGTCATGGTAGGCATAGCAGACGCTGTGGACATTGTAGGCGCTGCAACCCTAACCGGCTGGTTGATGGTGCTAGACTCAGCTGCCTTTCTGGCTCCGAGAACTTGCTTGCCCGCGTTCATCACTTCACCTTTGCGCTTGTTCAAAGTCTTATTGGCAATGACACGCTTTTGAGCAGCCTGCGGATCATCAACAAATTGATGCATGTAAGGGGCATCTAGTAGATGCTTGCAAATTGTTTTTTGGGTTTCGAGACAATCTAGAACTTTAGTCATGCGTTCAGCGAACGTCAGCAAGTCGCTCGTAATCTTTCTTTTCAGTCCATGAGCTGCCAACAATGAACCCGAGATTTGTCTGGTAATAACGCAGTCCTAATAGCAACGTTAAATCCACTACACAACAGTATCGCCTGGCTCCACGACTTACCAATATCTCCCAGCACACGCATTCGACTCTCTCGGCGCTATACTTGCCCTCTTTGAATGGCTTGATCATTCCAGGGTTATCCTCGGCGTTCTTGAAACTGAGCATCGCCTTGGTGAGGGCCCTAACAATTGCCTGTTTTTGCAGATCGTTGGTGGGGAGGGTTGAGTCCTCTCGAACGCCATCCTGCACCGGGCGTGCTGCCCTGGCTTCCTCGACTGACGAGTACAGCGTACCGCAGTCTATATTATAAGCTTCCGGGTTCATCAGCTGGTCCATCAGTGATACGGGGCTTGGCTGTGGGTTATGACCAGGGGCCTGGGCGGTCATGACCGGCTGGCCAGAAATATCAATCGGGAAGGTGGCTTCGCCTTGACCGGGGGGCGCATAATGACCATCAGAGGGGCTGTTCTGCTGCACAGAGTTTCTGCTGCTTCCAGATGATATGCCTTGGTTGAATTCCTCGACTGCCCCAAGTTGGCCAGGGAGGTATTCGGCTGGACTGGAGTGCATTGGTTCAGATCCAGTCTCCGGCGAAGATTGGATCATAGTGCCGTTCTGGCAGGCAACCTGCTGAGAAGGGAAGATACCCTGATACACTTGAGTCCCTTGCTGGTGTGTAAATCCAGTGATCTGATTTCCGATGCTAGCCATCTGACTTCCGACGAACTGATGCTCATTCATCTGGCTTCCGGCGAACTGATTTACAGCCATCTGGTTTCCAGTGAACTGATTTCCAGCCATCTGATGTCCGATGAGCTGGCTTTCGGTGTTCTGATGTCCAGTGAACTGGCTTCCAGGGTTGCCGGTAATCTGATCGCCAGGCGAAGATGCTTTGCACTTCTGGGACGTACCAGAATTGCCGGAAGAACCAGAACTAGAACGGTTTCTATCCACTTGGTTTGCCGGCATAGTAGTTCCCTGAAGCCCACCAGCAGCATAGACTGGCTGCGAAGGTGGAGTACTCTTTTGAGAACTATTTGAAGAGACGTCCTGTACTCCGGTTACATTGCCGAGCATGCTTGCGGCCTGGTCAGTGGGGGTGGCGTTGTGTGAGCTCCTCGAGACGTTATTCACATGGTTGCCAGGGGCATTTCCCACGAGGTTGCTGGGAGCGTTGTTCACGTAATTGTTTCCACGATTAAAGAAGTCCTCATTGTCAGCCTCAGTAAATGAGACACCCGAGTTATTGACAGCAACACCAGCCCCAAGAGCATAACAAGGCAGGGTAGAGTAACCGCTTGGTAATGATTCGCGCGTTTGCTTCAAGGTGGTTTGCTGAACACCGTTTATAGGACCCATGATAGGGCCAATCACACCAGTGAAGTAAGTAGAAGCAAATACACGGGCATCTGGAGGCGCCAGATTTCCCATATGTTGGTTTACAGGCACAGATCCAGGATGCATCAAAGCCGTAGCGGCGGATTGCCCAGTAGTGCTAGGGTTCAGGTCTCCAGACATGGTTCCGGGCTGAGGTGTAGCCGTAGCAGTGGACTGCCCAGTAGTACTGGGATTCATGTTCTGGACAGCCGCAGTCTGATCTGAACTCCCAATATCCTCATTAGGGTTGGCTTGGTTATCCCCAATTTCAGGCGATACTGCGTTGTCGAGGATTGCAGAATGACTGTGCTCTGAATCCCATGGAGGCAATGCCGACAGGTCTATATCCTCTCCCGTAGTGAAAGGATCAGAAAGATCCCCCAAAACACCAGCGTCCTGCGCCATGGCGGTGCTTGGGAGGTCTTGAACTGAAAAGTTTTGAGCATTGTTAGTATGCCCTTCTGGTGCTGTAACGTAGTTATAACTAGTATATAAAGTTAGGTGCGGTTGACACTAAAGTACAGAAACAAATGAATGGATACTTACCCGTTGGCAATGCAACCTTCAAAGAGTGCATCGAACTCTCCGCTTTCAGTGAAGGACACATCGTTCAATAGTGCTCCTGTAGGAGAAAAGGTAGCCATTTCGGAAAATGACCAACACTGGTCCTTTGCTGGACGAGATATCCCAAGACTCGTTCCTGAACGCGTTTCTGAAAGTTCCAGAAGCAGGAATAAACAAGGACAACTTGACCAAAGTGTTGATGTAGATGAAATAAGCAAATCCAACGTCCTTAGGGCTACACTATGCCTGTGAAGTAAGATGCTTGATTGATCACAAGAAGCTCTGTACTCTAAGGAATGAGGATTTGTAGACACGAGTAATATGGAAAGAAGAGAGGATGGAAGGGGAGAGAAGTTAAGTACTGTGTGAAAACTCAGGCATTTTGTGAATTTTGCATGCTATTCACTACCTGTGAATGGAATCACAAACACATTAACACACTTGCCTTTGAGTAGGGAATCGGGATCCACTGGGCTGTAGGAAAATCCATAGTAAAGGCCGAAAAGTGGGATCCAGGCCAAGCCACCCCATCTCCAGGCAACAAGAACACTGAATTTGGAAAAATAATCGTGTTGAAGGCTCAAATTGATTCTATCTGTGTTTGGTAGACATATTGGTAGGGGTGGCTGGATTCACAGGATTCACGTTCACAGATCCCGGTTCACAGATTCACGTTCACGTTGGTGGAGGGGTTGCCTGAATTCACGCATTCACAAAGTGGAGATGAAACAGCGTGAATCTGTGAATTTCTGACATCCTGTGGGAAAATCCAATTTTCAAAAAAGATCTCTGGGTTGTCTTAGTCTCTGGCACCAGTAACCCAAAGTCCCTTGGTCACCTATTCTTCTCCAGAGTGATATGTCAAGTATGTCCTCGGCCGGCAGAGATGCAAGCACTCTATAGCGGCATGGCCTATTATTCGCTGCTGCTGCAGGAACCCGGCCTAAAGACACTAGCCCCCGATCGCTTCATGTACCCATATATCGGGTCCTTTATGTTTAAGATCCCCAGCACAGGGATTTGCAGGTTGACGGATAAGGAATGCGGAGAAATTCAAACCTTCGGGGTGCGCAGAGACAACATGAACCACTGCATGACCTCCGACAAGCCCTTTTTCAGTCGTCATTGCTGTTCGTGTTTAGAAATGGCATATACCACACCTTCAAGCTGTTGTCAATATTGGGTACAGGTGGTGGGCTGGTATTGTCGATGTCTTTCTCGAAGTGCCGTTGACCTGAGGTTGTAGCTACTATATTCCCCATTGGATGCAGTACAGTACTACTCACAGTATCTATCATTCTATATTAGCTTGGGTGTCCTTGTCTTTCATCTGGAAGCATACTTACCGTTATGAACCTTCCATTCCCACTTTGGATCCTGAGCACCACTAACATGTGTAGGGTTCTGCCACACCCTCATGCATCCATCGGTTCCGCCAGCCCAGATCTCATGGGAGCCGTTTTCTCCACTGGGAACTATATCGATTTTCAGCCGTTGATTTGTGAAAGCCTTGCGACCTTGCAGCCATCCAAGCAATTGTCCTGTGACTCGGATATCATATACCAAGACACCATCACTTTTCCGTTCAGCAACGTAGAGGTACCTTCCGCAGGGGCTCCACAGCAGTTGAGTGATTCCACGACCGCCAATATGACGGTGCGCTTCTGTTTTCGATATGCTGAATGTCCCTAAGGACTCCCCTGTTCCATGTGCACCATAAAGCCCAACATGTCTGGTGAAGGTTCCGGCCGCTAAAATACCAGCCCCGGTGGGATCCAAGGCCATGGCAGAGATGATTCCTTTCATTCCCACGCCCCCACCCACCAGTTGCTTTCGTTTGCTTGGTATTGTGGGCATGGAAGTAATAGGGCCTTCGTTGCCGGGTCGAGATACATCGAAGAGGCAAATCAGGCTGTCAGAGCCAGTGAGAAATTGGCTCCCTCCCAACGCAGATGGATAAATGATTGAATGGGGCGTTATGAAGGCTTCTGTCATTGGATTTACCAGAGAATATGTCGCCACTGAGGTTGGAGCAAGAGCAGATGTCAATCTGATTGGATGGTCTCGAACAGATGAGAGAAATAATGTAGTCGACGGGTCTTGAAGGGAGAAAAAAGGGTACATGGCAGTTGCATAGGTCGGTTCTGCCGACGGCAAGACTGAGTATGGCGATATACTGCTGGGGTAGGTCGTTTCTTCTAGCATATCGGGTGGTCTGTAGAATGTTAGTCAAGGCTATGTTAACAATAGCTGAATGGGATTTACTGACAAGATCCAAGTTCTGATATGATGGTCGGAGGAATCCGTCAATAAAGTGGTTCCATCCGCCGACCTGGATTCCAAGATCAGCCAAGCGCTGATAGTTATATTAAGAGACTTACCATTCTGCACCCTTGAAATATTGTGTATTAGGGTTTTGGCTGAGACTGCGGTCCTCCTTTGGCTGTAAGGAGGTGGAGCCTTGAGATTCCAGAGAAGGGCTGCCAAACCCTGAACTATGCTCGCCGCCACTAGAAAGGGTAGAAGCGACACATATGGGCTCTTGTTCTTCGGCCATTCTGGGGGCTGAGGCTTCTTATATAGTAGCAGGTTGCAACAATAAACAAAAACTGGAATGGCTGGAGGCGTTGTGAAGCAGTGGGTGGAGCAAAGGATTGACATTCGCTACCCTTTGTTCTCAATGCCAAATGCCTTGGATTCAAGTATATTGTAGCATGAGGCACAGTCAATTTGGTATTGTGGAATAGAGCCAATGAGGCGACAATTGAAGAAAGCCAAGTGACGAGGTTATCACGTCTACATATGTGAATTAGCTTCTACAGTGCCTGCAAATGGGAATCAAGAGAAATAGCAACCTGCAATGAAGTGTACAATGATGTTACTGTGGGGCTGATAGATATTCTCTTAGCTTCTTCATCAATGAGCTAAATCTGAAAAGCCGTAACTGATAATCGATCTGAAGTGCTTTCTTCAATTGATTGGTGGTTATACTGCGTTTAGTTAGTTGGTCCTTATCGATAACGCTGAATAATCTCGGACCGGCAAATCTTTCCCCATCCAACACTAGCCGGGGAGGATCGTCTTGATTGTTGTTTTCCGACGTCGCAACTCGATCCAGCTCCTGTGGACATTGTGCTGGCACAAGACCCTCTTGACGGGCGCAACAAAGGTTCTTGTCGCGTTAACACTATCGAAACTCACTCGACACCTGAGCCCTCGTTTTTATCTCCCATTTAAACCGTCCATCATGTTCGGTACAAAGCCTGCCGGCACATCAACCGGCCTGTCCATCAACACTGGTTCTGCCAATTCTCTATTGTAAGGCTTTTCCTGTTGCATCTGTTAGTGGCCTCATGGTGTCACCTTGGTCCACGCCTGTATGAGGGGCTCAAACCGCAATTGCTTCGTCGCATCCCTTCGAATTTCTGGCCTTCATTGGAGCCTCAAAAAGCTAACAGTATTGTTTTATCAGTGGCTCTGGAACCAATACGCAGACTAGCACTACAACAACACCGGCGACTACTACTACCTCCGGTGGGTTATTCGGTAATCTTGGGAATACTGCCACACAGTCAAAGCCAGCCGGTGGCCTATTTGGAAACGCAGGAGGCGCTACACAGCAATCTCAGCCTGCCGGTTCGAGTCTGTTTCCGGGGTTAGGCGGCCAGCAGTCGAATACTACTTCAACTGGCGGGGGTCTGTTTGGAAACTCTACTGCCACAACTTCGCAACCACAGACAGGTGGTCTTTTCTCAGGAGCCACCACCACGACCAACAACACACAGAGCGGGAACACTGGTGGGGGCCTATTCGGCAATCTGGGCGGTAACACCGCAAACCAGACACAATCAAAGCCACTTTTTGGTGGACTTGGGGGCTCTACGGCTACCGGAGGGGGCCTATTGTAAGTGAATTTCCTGCTCACAACATCAATCGTGGCTCATGCGAACTATCACAGTGGCGGCGCCAACCAAACCAGCGCGCAGCAGCAGCAGCAGCAATCACAGAAGCCTACTCTATCTTTGTTCGGAAATCAGAATACCACAACACAACCAACGACACAACCCACGGCCGCGGCCGGGACAACGGTCATCCCTGGGGTCAAGGTCGATATCAGCAACATTCTTCCTACAACGAAATACGAGAGCTGCGCAGATGAGATCAAATCGGAGTTGGAAAAGTTTGATAACTTCGTCCTCAACCAGATCAAGATATGCAACGAGGTTGCGAACATGATACCCACTATAGCCGGCCAGGGAGAGACGATTCCACATGATGTTGAGTTTGTCCAGGGAAAATTAGAGACGATGCAGCACGCACTCGAGAATGACGCAGGTGACATTGATCAGCTTCGTAATCTTGTGTCTCGCGACGCAGCTGAGGCTCAAGTTGCATTCCGAGCGATTGATACCTTGAAGTTGCCACTGCAATATCAATCTACCGGTGGGGCTGGATGGTGGTCTCAGGATCAGAAGATGTCAGATGGACAAGCCTTGCGATCTACGCGCAAGAACACTCTAGCTCTCCCGGACGATGTTGAAAGCGACCCGTCCACTGCCACATCGGTGAACGGAGTACCCGTCAACTTGGTTGACTACTTCTCTCAGCGCTCGGACGAGATGGGAGAGGTCTTGGAACGCTACACACGGAACTTGAAAGAGATTGAAGACCACCTTCACGGAGTTGAGGCGACTTTGGAACGACAGATCCATGACTTTGTGACATCTCGTAGTCGAGATGGAGCAGCCGCTGGAGCCCCGAAGTCCATCGTCAGCGAGCTTGCCACCGTTCTAGGCGATGTTGAGGCTGGCATATTAGGCGTGGCCAGCCGTCTCGGTGGAGTTACCGAGCAAGTGCAAGAGGTGGTTCTGGGCCCGCCCTCTGTTTCATGAATGTCTGGAAGTCTGTGCAGTGATATCACATCGTCTTCATGTAGATTACGGATGGATTTAGATTTGATGAAGCATACCTAATCTCGCTACAAGATGCGAAACTATACAACTTCGGCTCCTTGCCAGGTTATCTGATCCGGCTATCCGCTAGTGACAATGACCCGTCGACTACCCTGCCTATGACCGCGCAGAAAGGCGTCGCTAAACTGGATATAAGGCACCTGGATCATGACCACTGAGGATACTATCATAGGCTCCATAGAAAGCTAGTTCAAATCGCATACTTAAGGCTCCAATGAGTCATATTTGAATAGTATTACTGTAGCATGGCATGCTTGATGTAAGATTCGAAAAATGAGTTATTTATACGGAGTGCGTCAATAAGCATCACAGTGACTCATGTCTCAACACTTCGTACTTTGTAGTTACCATGACAGATTATTGATGCGGCTCGCCAGGGGTCGTATTGGAGAAGGCGGTGAGGGTGAAGAATGCCAAGCTGCCTGTTCGGCGCAAGACGCAAGAGGACGGCAGACTGGCGTGATCGCACCTAATCCTTCGGCTAACGTCACACCCCATGCTCCCCCGATTTCCAGCTTGACCTTCCCCCCAAGGAGCTGACCCTTGAGGCAGGGGAGTCCGTTGATTCCCGCTGAGAATTTCTTCTTCTTCTGCTGAGATCTTCTAAGCTTACGATAAAGTATTTGTTATGGCCACCCTTAGAATGTGGTTCATAAGACAGCCTGGCATACTCCATCATACTATCTCAACATGATCTTCCTGTGGGGTGTTTCCCCATACTCACTCTCGCACCCCCCAATACGGTATATTGATCCGGTTCCATCTAGTGGCATTCTAGAACCCGACATACGTATGTGATTCGCGACAGATCAACTTAGCTCAAGGAAGCGGTGTGACGCCTCCGGGTCTTCCCAGATAAGCGGGAGATCTGACCCGACGCGAAGCGTCACAGAATGTCTCCACAACTGTTGCCTTCGAATGACGCGATCTTCGCTGACACCATCCTCGGACCCGCTATTGTTTTGGGGGGAGGCTCCTCCGAAACGCCGTTCTGTGTCCCATGGATACATAGTTGCTTGATCAGCCGCTTGGGTGATATTCTCCAGCGATGGTGCAATTCCCGCCTGTCCCGAATTTGGGGCAATGCCTGGTTGTGTCCGGTTATCTCTCCCCTTGATAATGGAGTGGAGGATGTGGCCTCTTCGTCCTCTATGTGTGCATCTATCTCTATATAAACCCAAAATCTCATCTTGCATCGAATACCAGTCTCTGTGTCAAACAAGTCCCCATACAAACACTTCTTGTTAGTATCGTTTCCACCAGCACATTCGTACATCACGGTCATCTCTGCCGCATAAACCATGGCGCCTTCACTCGTGGACCCCGTGGTAACCCACCCAGTCGGCCGCCTTCCCATAAGTAAGAAGGAAGTCACAGATGACAACAAGTTTGGTTACCAGCCAGGCCGAACTGTCGTGGAAAAGCATGACAACTACCAGTACCAAGACCTTCTCCCTACTTTTCCTGATCTTCATTGGCCTCCGTTAGAGGAAACGCCGTATGAGGATAGGGGTATCTACGGAGACGCCAAGTTCCGGAATCTACTCCAAGACGCAACAGACGTCTTCGATTACACCCCCAAGATCGGAACTGAGGTTCATGGAGTGAATCTGGCGAAGCTGAATGACGCACAGAAGGATGACTTGGCTCGTTTGGTAGCTGTTCGTGGTGTGGTTTTCTTCCGAGGACAGGATGACTTGGATATCGATGCCCAGCGTGACCTGGGTAGACATTTCGGGAAGCTGCACAAGGTATGAAGGGTCTATATACATACGATGTGCATTCTTGCTGATGCCATTGCCTTTCAGCACGCGACCACGTCTGTCCCGAGAAGAGAGGGGTTGGAGGACGTTCACGTCGTCTACACTGGAGACAACTCCACTGACCAGCGAGCAATGTTCACACCCAGCTTCCTTTGGCACTCAGATGTATGGGCTACCCTTGCTTGTGATACCGAACATGTGACTGATGAGATATATTAGGTTACATATGAAGTCCAGCCTCCCTCATACACATCGCTCAAGGTCTTGACCGGCCCGCCACGGGGAGGTGGCGGTGATACGCTCTGGACATCTCAATACGCTGCATATGATGCGCTATCGCCTCATATGCAAACATACCTCAAGGGCCTGACTGCTCTACACTCGGCGGATATGCAGGCCTCGGACTCGCATGCTCTTGGTCGACCTGTCCGTAGAAATCCGGTTACCACAGAACATCCTCTCATCCGGACAAACCCTGTCACTGGCTGGAACAGTCTGTTTTTCAATCCGGGCTTCGTCACAAAGATCGTGGGAATCCCGAAGACCGAAAGCGATGCTATCATCAGATACCTCACAGAAGTTATTGCGACAACTCAAGAGATGCACGCGCGGTTCCAGTGGAACAAGAATGATGTCGCGATTTGGGACAATAGAACCACTGTGAGTATCATGTCCTGTCCTAGTACACTTAAGCTTTAAGCTAATTGTTGATAGAACCACTCTGCTTCTTATGGATTCGCTCCTCATCGTCGCCATGCTGTGCGCGTCTGCTGCCACGCAGAGCGCCCCGTCTTGGATCCGGCAGGAAAATCGCAAGAAGAGGAATTCATCGCTCTTTACAACCTTCCGCCTGTTAACAAGGATGGTTCTCGCCAGTCTAATTACAATGACTGATCTACCAAGACTTTGGCAAATTATTTGAATATTCTGGGTGCTTAGCGTGATTCAAGGGTTTTGCGGGAATATGAGAGCTGGCTCTCAGTACTTTCGGGCTGATAATTAAATAACTAGCGATACATTACGGAGTTTTAGAAATTAGGCGTACATAATTTCGGGCTAATACTAGTCAAGTCTTCCCACCTTGATTCAATCCACATTCAATCCACGTGCTTCTCTTTGTCACATCATTAGTACCAAATTACTTCTAGCAAGGCCTTCACAAGTTTGTCGCAACAATACGACCAGTATATATAAATCAATGGCAAACACAAACGACGTGTCTTTATTCCAATATGCCCGCTTCCATGGCATAGCTACTGACTACACAGATCTTGACCCTCTTCAGCATATCGACGATATTTGTGATATCCCTCCCGATTATCTTCACCCACCTGACGACACTTCATCGGTTATTGAGCAGACTATCGCATCTAGTCAGCAGGTTATCGAGCAGAACCTACATCCCGAAAAGCTCGATATTAGAAAAGAAAGCGTTCAGTTTCTATCCTCTGTTCTTCGCGACATTGAACGAGACAATATCGACGACTGCTGGGATGAAGTCCTTCCTTCGTGGGATCAATATGATGATCTGAAGTTAGAACCACCTCTCTTCAGCTCTGACAATGATACAAATCTGGTACTCCCAGTTGAGCCGCTTCGATACTCTCGAGATGATAATCTTTTCTGTTCACTTGAGGGACTTGCTAGCGACTACGATAGCAATTTATTGAGCCCTTTGATACATGAGGCAGATATAATCGAGAAAAGAGTTGGCAATGAAAAGCTGGATTGTTCTAAGGACGCTTTGCTTCTTATTCAAGGTGCATGGCAGGCTGGGAATCGTCCTCTGGACTTGGATGACTTGCTGTGTCCCCTTGAAGACGTGGCTGAGGTATGTTTTTGGGGTCATCTCGCGCTTCTCTCATTCTTCTCGCTGAAGTTGAAGACAGCAAGATCGGTTCCACCTTCAGTCCCCACCCCTTTTGCCTCTAGATGACGACTACTTTTCTTGCGATAGCCCGCCACTGAGCTCAAGTGACCACCGCCTATTGAGTCCCGTTCGCCATGATTCAGGTGAGGTACCAACCGACATCGATACCGTGCACTATGAAGGCTGCTCTAAAACCGAAAATGTCCCAGGGAGTACGATTTCAATACTAGAAAGTGATTTCGAGAACCAGGTCTTCGAAGGAACAGACAGGCAACTGTCGCATGATCCATCTCCAAGTCGGTCATCCCCCAACGAGCGAGGTCCACCTGATGGAATGTCCCCTGCGGATATGGACATGACCAACGAAAAGGCATTCGCATCCGATTTTGAGCAAGTCATCATGGCTGTGACAATACCCAGGAGCCCGAGCAGCATTACTTCGCGAGTGACCTACACTGAGATTACGGATAACATTGCAACATCTGACTGTTTTCCGTACAATAACTCTATCGTCAAGGATCTTCCCTCTCGAACAAGCTACTCTCCAATTCCATCCGGATGTAGCTCGTCTCATCAGGAAGCATACGTACAGGAGTTTCCAGACTGTTCAGCACAGTCAATATCTGAGACTTCGGTACCAGATTTATACCTAATCACTCCAACGATAGAAGATGATCCCTCAGCAGCCTCCTGTCTTCCTGAAGCTCTACCCCAGCTCTATGATAATATTAGCCAAAGCAATACATCACTGGTGCGGAAACGAAAGTTGGATAACACTCAGGATGATAGTAACAAGTCCGACAGTGCAAATCACAAAGCCAAGTCGCCTATTGTGGAAGGGAAAGCACCTTCGATACAACACCTGACCACGAGCCTTGGCTCCCTATCACGATTTATGGAGACTAGAGGGCAGGCTTCCATACCAGAAGAAGCCACTCAGAGCCACTATTTTATTAACAATAAGTCCACAGAGACGACTGGAAAGGAGCACGATGTATCGCAGCTTGCGAAAACATCCGATAACTACCCAACTGACACCCCAGCTCGCAGACAATCTGAGATCATCTCCTTCAATCAATCGGCCATCCCATGCTGTTTGCCCCAAAAACACGAACCCATAATACTCTCCCTGTCAACATCACTTCTCAAAAGCCACTTATGCATAGTCCAGTGCATTGAAAGAATATATCCTGCCACATCTATCGTCTACAGGGAGTCTGGTGCTAATAGCTGGTCAATGGCTCCTAGAAGTCATATCCAACGCACTTTTACATTTCCATCGAACTGCGAGGACGAAGCTGATATAATGGTCGCCCCCAACACTGGTATCATCTTGACAACCTCACAGGCAACAACGCAGCTATTTCTCCCAGGTCACAGGTCATCAATAATGAAAGACATTCCAAGCGTCAACTCTCCTCTACGAGAACGCGTATTTCGTCTTGCGAGAAAGTACGAAAACATATATGTTCTTATTTCTCATTGCAGTGGCACAACATCAAACTTATCAGATAATGGGTTCACCATCGATAAAATCATGCTTTCATCTCTGATCGCCTTTACTGCTTTTTGTAGCTCTATGTCTAACCTGAATATCTACCCTGTTGTGCTACCTTCTTCCCCGGATACCATTGCAGGCTGGATCCTTGCGCTTGCTAGTAAATCTGTGAATTCACGGGATTGATCTCTTTTGAGGTGTACTTTGTTTTCTTTATTTATTATTGATATCTTTGTTTTTCTTTGTCGCCCAATTTTTCCCTTTCTCTCTTCCGTTTGTAGAATAGTAGCCAGTGCACAATTCAATTTGAGCTGTAGCCAGGAGTTCCCTTTCTTTTGATTGTCCTTTGAACATTATCTTTTCGACCAAGACAATAAAAAAGGAAAGTAAAAATATTGTCTCCAGCGTCTAAATATAGATAACTACTGTTACCTAGTTCTTATTCACCTGCATTTGTCTCATCTAGTGAATCACTGTTACCTATTCATAACGCGCACTTCATCACGTCTCTTTGGTATGGCTGTATGGCTGTCAAGCAATCAAATTCGGTGAGATGAGCGTGGTTCAGAAGTGCTGCCTAAAGATAAAGCAAGAGATTTTAACAAAGTTAGTAGCTTGCAAGTAGTATTGGTAGCTGTTTGGTTTACTTTTATCCTGGGAGTACGTAATGAATAGCGATGTATGTGGTACTGCGCTGGTTCTGGACTGCATAGGGAATATATATCTTGAATACTACGGATGGGCAAAGTTAGATTCAGTTATTAATCCTTTAATATATAGCGTTGTGCTCGTAGGAGAATAAGTTATTATATTGACGGAATGCCATTATGATCATGGTGAGGTTGTCAATGGCTGTTCCAGCTCAGTACCACGATATATTCTATTTGCCACGATGAAGGTATTATTAGTATATTGGCGGTCACAAACGGCCGGCTTGATGACTTCTTGACAATCGCCATTATCCCGCATTCTCCTCCTTCTCGCAACGTGTAAGAGTATCTAGTATGGCTATATGATCGTACTGTCAAAGAAAGAGCCCAGTCCAGGACGTTCTGTGGGGCTTCGTCTCTGGCTAGGAAGTTGCATGCCGACATCCGTTCCTCTCATTGTACCTCGTGTTTCTAGGAGAGCATTAGCTGGGCCAGCCTCGGCTTGAAATCGCTCTAGCATTATACGGTCGTGAGGGAGCTGCGTTCTTCCCGTTGAAGGACGTGAAGGACCCACGAGACGGGTTCGATGTTGTGGTGTTGCGGCAGGCTGATTGTCTATACAGTGTCAGTACGTGCAACGTAAGCTTGTAGTCCAGATGCATACGTTTGCTCCGAATGTCTGTCGGACGGCTAGGCGGTGGCATTGCAGCGACATCAGTCCTCTCTTTGCGACCTTTTGAACTTCCAGTTCCGCTCCGTTGATGACGATGCAGTTGTTCCACGCCTTCCTGGTTGACGGGATATACGTTGGATTGCCTAGACAATGGGGTTTGTGGCGGTCTCGATGTCTCTGTGTGTTTGGGTTCAAGTTCAGATAGATTGTTTCGAGAGGCTGTTAGCGAATCCAGCGCTTGGGATACAGTATCTGTTGCAGCGGTCTGCATTTGGGATCGCATCGCTCGGGATTTGAGTATGTTGTATAAGTTTGTCATTTGTGTGAATTTCTTGCACTTATCTCGATACATGTCGACTAGCTCCTGGTTCTTCTTACGAAGTTGGTCCTGTGCTGTCTGCATATCTGCTTAGTTGTCAGATGGTTTCATTCAGTAGTCCCGTGTTGGAGACGGGCTGACCTGATATTCTCGCTTGTAGGGCCGATATCTCCGAGTTCGCGTTGTGTATGACCTTGTCCATTTGTGTATTCAGATTGGTGTACTTCTCTGTCAGTGTCTTTGCAAGGTACTCCTGGTAGAAGCTGGAGCTTGTTAGTGGGCATCCAGGTCAGTCACGATACCAATTAACGCACATTTCCTGTGTAGTCTGGTATGTCCAAAAGAGCAACGCCCGTCCGGCGCACTCTATGATTGTATTCGGGTCAAGTCCGCTTAGAACACTGGTCTTGTAGTCTTCCGTTGGGTTGAGGGCCGTTGCTACCGCGTCGTCGGGGTTCACGAGAACAGTCTGACAGGCTGGGCAGGTTCGCTCATTTGCCGTGGGATGCGATAGACCAAGGCTTCCTGCACAGTGTAGACAGAAGATGTGTCTCGGTTGCTCAGCGTGTTGTTCTTGAGTTTGACAGTCATAGAACAAGATGCAGCAGAGGGGGGATACTTACGAACAGGTGGTGACGACTGCCCTGTCCTTCAGTTGTTCTCGGCACTTTAGAGAGTTGCAACGGAGGTAGAAATCCATGTTCGATATCAATTATCTTCGGTGAAGAAAACCAGCAGAGTTGGTCAGATAGATGTTCAAGGGTGGATGAATGTTGAGCTAAGATGCCTTACACATAAAACCAAGGCTCAATATGGAAATTGCCGCGGTATCACCCCAGTCACTTCAACACAGATTAGACCAGGCAGACAGTACGACTAAGCTACTGTGGTATACGAGCAAGCTATGGTTTTATTGGGTATCTCAGGAATATACAACATCTATGGTCTCAACGCTCTTATTTATATCAGCCACGCCATAACCTTCAAGCCAAATGTGCATCAGAAAAAGAACGTATTTCCAGAAGCATCACGCCTTGTCGTCCGCATCTTCTCCTCAAACTCAGGCCCTGGTTCATATTCTCGCCAGAGACTGGCCGGAAAGATGTGTTTGTTCCGCTCATACCACCGTCTATCAACCACCTTGGTTAAGGATGGATCTTTATCAGCGCCCTCTAGTTGGTTGCTTTCCGGGCGCGATAAAGGATCGTCTGTCGAAGGTGCCGGGGGTGGTTTGTTGGAATAATCGAACAACAGACCACCCGCTTTGGTGAAGTCGGGTACACTGTTGGCGATGAAATAATAGAGTTCGTAATGCTGTGCCAGTCAGCGTATGCAACCATATGAAATAGTTCGGATACATACATGTGGAACGATGATTTCTCCTTTGACCAACATTAGGTCATCAACACTAACTCGAGCCCATTCGCGACGATTATCTTTGCGAGCCTTGGATGCTCCGCTGTTACCACCAACACCCAATTCTGCTCCAACCTTTCGGCATCGGTCCAAGAACAACCAAACGGGGTCACCTTTCTTGACCCTGACAGTTCCCGCTGGGATGTTGGTCCCATCGAAGAATATAAAGGGGATCAATATCTCGGTATTCTTCACAGCTTCCTGCATGGCAAGGAATTCCTTGCGGAGCGCATCCCGTGCCTCTGCCTCTGCCTTCAAGGCGGCTTTCGTCATTGCTTTGGGAGGAGGCGGGGCATTTGGGTTTGGTGTTATGCGGCGTGATGACGGCGCAGAGCTATCGTCAACAGGAGTTCTGGAAGCAGAACGCGGGACACTCGAGTCCCGCGGCGTTGCGACTGCATCGGCGGTGCTATCGTTCTCTTCCTCCTCATCGTCATCGCCGAATGAAAGCTTGCTCTTGGCGATAGGCTTCTTTTTCTTCTTCTTCGGCGGGCCCTCGCTTCGTGGCGTCGAGTTGCTATACGCTTTGCGATCAGTTACAAGCCGGGATATTCTGAAGATGCGATTTGACTCACCCGTCAGTCACTTCACCGGTAGATGGAGTTGCACTTCTGGAGGTGAATCTCCCTAGGGATTTGTCATGAGCTTCGCGTTCTTTTTGCTCCAAGACCTCGGCGCGACGTTTGCGGAAGTCGGAAAGATGGACGAGACCAACTGTCTGCGACTTGAGCAGATCTTCTGCTGACGCAGTCTGGCTGGTAAACGAGCGTGGGGTCGAGCTATGGCTCGGCTGTTCGGATTGTGACATTTTAATAACGTATATGTGGTGAGAGTATCGAGGAATAGACGTTGAAATTGGCGATAAATCTCACATGAATGCGACTGACGTACTGGCACGTGATGTCCAAGATTGCCGGATCGGGAACAACCACAACTTGCCTGCGCCTTGAGAAAAGAAGTACTCTCGTCAATTGTTGTTTTTTGTGCTACATTCTTGCTCCACTTCTTTTAGCAGAAGGGGCTCTGCGAGTTAAGAAGCTGATAATTTTAGATTCGCGACTTCAGTATCCCAGCCAACCAGCAGCACAAGAACAAACAAATCAAAGCCGACGACTTGCGAATCTCCGCAGGATCGCCGCCGACAGAAACGCATCCCGTCACATCTCCTACCCTTCTACATTTACTCGGTCGCACATTCCAACATGATGATGGAAGACGAAGACGATGATTTCTACGATCCCGCCGATGCGGTGCCTGTAACTCAGCATCAAAATGGATCCCAGCATCCCCCCGCAGATTCAGGACCGCAGGACTCCAATGATGCGGAAGAGGAGGAGATAGAGGTAGAAGAAGATGAGGTATGCGCATGGACAGATAAATGATCCTATTACTGTCTCTTACTCTCACCTAGGATGACTTCAATATCATCACCGAAGCACCTGCAGATGCGCCCCCTCCAGAAGTGTAAGTCCACTACCTCTGTTCAACACACTGCACCTTGTTAACCATTGAACAGCCCACATCCTCGTCACGCCAGTCTCCGCGCGGAGTCTCAAAGACCTTCTTCTTCTGCAGATGTTTCTACGATATCAAAATCCATAACGCCCACCGTTACCCCTAAGCTTGAATCCGTTACCCCTGTGCCTGCTGCTGCAAGGCCTGCGGTCCCTCAGAAACCCGGTTCCGCCTACCCTCCAGTCCATGCGTCGAACATCGATGTCCACGCGAACCCTGTCCATCCGGCGACCGGTAAACCGATCATGTTAACAGACATGGACACCGACTTCCCAGAGGACGACAAGCCTTGGAGGCGGCCAGGCTCCGACATTACAGATTATTTCAATTACGGGTTTGACGAGTTCACGTGGGCCAGTTATGTGTTGAAGCAACAGGAGCTACGCAAGGAAATTGGAGATCAGAAGAAACAATTGGATGATATGCAGGCTTTCTTAAGCATGGGGCTTCCGCCGATGCCCGGCGGTCCTCCGGGACCTGGAGGGCCTCCAGGAAGCGCACCACCTCCTATGCCCGGCATGCCTGGAATGCCGGATATGTCACAAGAGATGATGCAAGGCATGCTGACGAGCATGATGTCGCAAGGTCTGGACCCCTCATCCATGGATCCTATGGCATTTATGCAGCATGCGCAGGCCATGATGGGTGGGCAACCCGGCGCAGGCGGCGGACAACAAGGTCAACCCGGATTTGGTGGGCAAGGTGGTGGCCAGCCTCAGATGGGATACGGAGGCGGCTTTGGTCGGGGTCGCGGGAGAAGATGGTAAAGCTAGGGATATCTGAAGCTGCGACCTTGTTATAATGACGAATACTTTGTCGAAAGCTCAGCATTGGCGATTCGAGCAGAGTCCTAGAAAAGTAGTAAACTTATTCATAAATGAATTACTCCCGAAGGCTAAGCTTCTTGTGCGGATCTGGGGTCGGGTTGCTCGGGGAAAGGGAGCTACTAATCGAGTGCAGTGTATTGTTGCTCATCATCAGACGCCAGGACCGAGTACACTCATTCATGTAAAAGAATCAATATTCATCTGTAATAGTCAAGCGAGTTAAGCACATTGGAAAAGAGCACGCTGTGATCAGAATGAAAGGGAAGAAGAGCGAAGAAGTGGTGATACCCTCGGCAGAGAGGATGGAAGCTGTCGGTCTTGGCATTCTGGAAATTTCTCGCGAGTCCAGATCAGATCTTCTTTCCCCGGCCGCTTCCTCTTCTTCTTTTGCTCTCCACGTCCCCAACTTGCTTCCATTTCCTCTCGCTCCCGCTTGAATCTACGCTGTTCCTCGTGCCCGGCACTTCTATACACACTCTCATCACAATGGTATGTTATTGCAATTGATACCGGATGCTGTAGAGCTCCGAATGAACTTTTTCACCCATCAACGTCCATCCCCTTCCGACGGGATCGCCATCTCTAATCGCCAATCTACCTATCTCTGACCATTACTAATGTATTGATTGCTTGATTAGTCTTTCCTCCGCAACGTCAAGAGCCTTGCTCCCCTCCTCGACCGCGTCCTGGTCCAGCGTGTCAAGCCCGAGGCCAAGACCGCCTCCGGTATCTTCCTCCCCGAGAGCAGCGTCAAGGAGCAGAACGAGGCCAAGGTCCTCGCTGTTGGCCCCGGTGTCTTCGACAAGAACGGCCAGCGCCTCCCCATGAGCGTTGCTCCCGGTGACCGTGTCCTGATCCCTCAGGTATGTCGACCGCCCGATCCGTGGCCATCCGATGCGAGAAGCGAAGCATTAGTCCATCGCGCAGATTGATGTGCTATTGATGAACACAACATACTAACGAGTCTGTGATGTAGTTCGGTGGCAGCGCCGTCAAGGTCGGTGAGGACGAGTACACTCTTTTCCGCGACCATGAGTATGCACACCCTTGACACTACTTTGCTTGGATGAACCTGTATACTAACATATGCTACCAGGATCCTTGCCAAGATCCAAGAGTAAATTGGACGAGTGAAATGATATTCAGCTCCGTTGTCTTTCTGTTCACGGGTTAAGGCCGAATCACTTGTACTATACCTCCTACGCAAAATCATGAGCTTCAACCATCCAACTCCGGGAAAAACTCATAATCAAAAAAAAAAGAACCACCGAAGAGGTATCAGGAGGGATCTGTCGTCCCTCCTAATCATCTTGGGCTAACGTCTTGTCTGGCATTTATTATCGAAAGCGTGAAATGACTGTTTACATACCACACGATGTACTTTTAAATATAGCAATCATCCTGTCCTACATTGTCTGGCGCGATGAGGGCAAGTAATCAGATATGATAATCTCCTCTCTGCTATTTTTTCATATAAAGCACGACCGAATGCTGGGTAGAATTATCTGCAACCTACCGTTCCGTCCAACAAGAATAGACCTTCCAGTATTGTCAAGTCAGAGGGCAGCCGCTCGACCACTATTATTTCTTCGTAAATTAAATGTTCATTTTATCTTTATCCCAAAACAGGCGGTAATCCAAACTCATGGCCAGCTGAATAGGTATATCAGACTGTATCGACTCGTTGTCTAGAAACCCCATGAGAAGACACGCGTAGGTAACCCTGAGAATATACTATCATTCAGCATTTGAAAAGTACCACTTCGGCAATAGTCAGCAAGGGTAATGACATATGGGTGAATCAGATGTAGTAATATCAGACAGACTAACCATCATCACCATCATCAACGCCTTCATCAGCGATACCGCCACAATATAAATACTAGGAAGAAATGTCAGACACAGAACCCTGCATCGTTCTAATAGAACAACAATCGGGTGGTGTAACAGGCCCAACGCGGATCAAACTGGGGATGGTGGAGACCAGTCAGCAGAGATGCTGAATAGTTAATTAACTACGGAGGTAGTAGTAGGAATCATACTAGGAATCACAGTAACTAGTGACTAGAAAAGCTCGCTCAAGCTTGATGGATTGTCGAGGGGTTAATAACTCTCCTGGTCTTCATGATTAAAATGAATTGGTACTATGTCACTCAGCACAAAAGTTATAGAAATCAACTTTTGAAGACGTGTACAAATGACTTGGTAAGACTCACGTACTGTAGTATTTTGCATAACTCGTACGGATTCTGCTCATATGTCATCAAGGTAGTAGTTGCTCTATATATCTCTCTTCTATCACCTGAACGATTGACTACTTATTGTGCAGTTTCAAGAGTGTTCGTCACCTCGTGAGGTTCAATACTCTGGCTTGGTGGATGATGTCTGGTAGCGATATATAAACTGACAAGCAAAGTGCGGATTTATATACCCGCATACACGGACCTACCAAACGCGACAATATAAAAGACGCGAAACATCGTGATGCACTTCCAACGGCCATGAACATGCATCAACTTGTTCTTCAGAAATAGGCTAAAGTATAGTACGCCTCTAAAACAACATCCCCGATCCTACATCACGAACAAGAGTTGAATTTATATACCACCATCAGTTAGCTACTACTACCTCAGTACTTAGCAAAGAAGTAAGTAATAAACAACCCAACCCAACCACCTACTCAAAACAGCACACACAAACCCAACAGAAAAAAGAAAAGAAGAAACTGATAAGATCCAATCTAATTAACAAGCCAACTACGTACAAATTAATAATTAAAACCCATCCTCGGCCCCTCAAGGCCCCCAAAGTCCCCAAAATGAAGTAAAATTCTCCATCACGCAAAGGCAAGGCCCGTCCCGTTCTAATCGATGCCATCTCATAGGCTGTAAGCTTATCCGTCCACCACCAGCACCTACCCATCCATCATACTAAGTACTACTACTAAACATTCGTTCCATCCATCCGCGTCCCGTCTCGGACGTACGGAAGCCACACACACACACAACCACACAACCACCACCCCTCCCCCCTGGCTAAGGAAAATCCTTTTCCAATTATAGTGTTGGCCACGCGAGAAATCAAGCTCATCTTATCTTATTCTTTTTTTCCTTTTCTTACCCTTGCAGCCCTGTGGATCTGGGGTTTTTAGGCTTTCCGTGTGAGAGAGATTAGGTGTGGCACCGGGTTTGTAGTTTATTTGGACTTCAACTTCCTTTTGTTACGGAGGATTACTTGTATGTATGTATGTATGTTATGTATTGTGTATTTATTATACTTACTTACATACATACATATTTACTTACATATGTAAGTTGTAGACTTGATTCCTTGGTTGGGACCTGCGTGTGCATGAGGTGGACGTGGTGCTGTCTTGTCTGTGTATGCGTGTGTGCCTTATTTGCTGTGCTGGTTGGTTTTAGGGTAGCTTTGTTATTGGTGTTGTTGTGCGGTTGTGATGTGTCATATTGTATATGCAGTCCACGTGTGAGGTAGGTGGGGAGGGTGGTAGGGTAATTTAATTCCCATATACTAAGTATGTGTCTATACTGTGGATAATTGAGGGAGGGGTTGTGCGTTCTGGGGTTGAAGAATACGGAAGCATGATAATTACGAGCGTATCAATGCCTTATTACTTGCATACGATCATATGTTAAGTGTCGAATACATAACTCCAATGACAGTCATAGATCATATCGTTCTATTAACGACTATCTTAAGTCTAAACAGCATCAACTCCAGAACGAGTATCCCCTCTTCCACTTGCCCTGCAGTGTAAAGCTGGGCAAACCGTTTGTACCGTCAATAAAAAAAAAAAAAAGAAACAAGTTAACAAGATAGCGTAAACAACCATATCATGCCATGCATTGAGAAGAAATGAAAAGGTTTCTCATAGGAAATTAAATTAATTAGAATTCAGTGAAACGTGCCCTGTATTTTCTTTTTTTACGCGGAACCGAACTCCTTGATGTCGGTCTTCTTTCCGAGGAGGGCAAGGGGCACAATACCACTGACGTGCATCTCAGGGCCGTAGACGTGCATGTTGAGGCCAAGCTCCTCACCAACAGCCTTGATGTTCTTAAGACCCTCCTGGTAGTTGGGACCAGCACGACGAACCCAGATCTGGACCTTGTGCTCGTTCAGGACGGGGGCAACCTCACGCAGAGCGCGGATGACACCCTTGAAGGTGGAGGCAACGTTGGTGAAGTTGGCAATACCACCACCGATGAAGAGGACCTTGCCGTCGGGGTGGATGGGAGAGCGCAGCATCAGGTCGAGGATGGTACGGGCGTAGTTGAAGGTCTGGGTCTCGGTGGGAGCACCGGAGTACTCACCGTAGTTGGCGAGCTCGCTGACGAAGCCAGCAGAGGCAATGGCATCAGCGTACACGACGGAGGCACCACCACCAGCAACGAGGGTCCAGACACGGCCGTTGGCGTTGAGGACGGTAAGCTTGAGGGAAGCACCGGTCTTAGCATCCATCTCGGAGATGAACTTCTCCTCCTTGCTCAGCTCACGACCGAAGGGAGCGGGGAACTCCATCGGGGGACCAGCGTCAATGTTGACCTTGTCGCTGGAGGGAAGGGTGGGCAGACCCAGGTTGGCGGGGCTACGAGCAATGGCCCACTTGGTACCGCACTCGAACTCAGCAGTCTGGTCGAGCTTGGCAGCCAGATCGAGGAAGTGAACATCAGCCGAGGTGGCATCAGCGTTGGGGATGACAACCAGAGGGTTGATCTCGAGGTAGGTGAACTGGCAGTCAACGTAGACGGCGTAGAGGCGGGAGATGAAGTCAACGAGGACGTTGTGGACACCCTTGGGCACCTTGCTCAGGAGAGCAGCAGCGATCTCCTCGTTGGAGGGGTACTTCTCCAGGTTGACGGGGATGAGAAGCTTCTCAGCCTTGGCGTCGACATCACCAACGTCGACACCACCCTCGTGGGTGAAAAGGATCCAGTCACCCTAACATGGTGCATTAGCATTGCTACCCCGCAGCGACGGAGGGCGCCGATCAAACGGCGGAGAAAAAACAAACTTACCTCACGCACGGAGTGGATGTTGATGTAGTACTCAGTCTCCTGGGGGTGAGGAACGAAAGGCTCAACAAGGAACTGACGGAGAACGCCGGTGACCGTCTCAACCTGAACGTCCTTGGCAGCACGGGCCTCAATCCATTCCCTGGCCTCGGCCCAGGTCTTGTTCAGGGCCAGAAGGCCACTCTTTCCACGTCTCTTGATCAATTGGTCGGGCTTGGCCACGAACTTGGAACCGGGAGTCAACAGCCAGGGGTAGCGGACCTCAGCCTGGTCGAGGACATCCTTGACGGCAATATCTTCGGGGAAGTAAAGGGAGGCGAGCTTAGGAGGAGGGTTGTGCGTGGAGGACGGAGGGAGGGGAGTAGGCTTGATAACGGGAGCACGAGTGAGGTGGTAGTTGAGGATGGCCTTGCCATCAGCTTCGAGGATCGACTTGGCGGACATGATGATTGTATAGGTGAAAGAGGAGAGGTATAATTATACTAGATAGACATGTAAGAAGCTGCAGAGCAATGGTTTGTGGAGGTGGGAAGGTGAATCCCGGTATGAATGAGAGGTATACCTAGAGGAAGATGTATGTAGAGGGAGATAGAGAGAAAGAGGGAGAAGGAGAAAGGGATTGGAGTGTTTGAATTTTTGGAAGGTCTGGAAGAAATCACCAACCAAAAGGAGGGAGCAAGAATAAAATGGAGTGGAAGTAAAGAGTAAGAGGGGGAGAATGGGAGGAGGGGAGGACGAGGAGGAAAAGAAGAAACAAAGCGGGAAGGAAAAAAAAGAACCTAAACGGAGTATTGCAAGAGAAGCGCGCCGATTAGTCGGTGATGATAAGTGACGGCCGGCGAAAGGAGGGTACTAGGAAGGAAAGAGGGAGGGGGGGAGGGGGGAGGGGAGGAGAAGTTTCGACGAAGCAAATTTTTTGGGGTCCGAAGATGGAGTGAGGATTGGGATGGAATGATCAACTGAAGCCACAGTAAAAACCAAAAACCACCCAAAACCGCCTTGATACAGATGATACAGAGTACGATCAGGGCCGAGCTCGGGCAATACAAGGGGCTTAGCGGGTTGCGATGCTGCAGCCAGCGGACTTTGTTGAGATTCGGTGGAGCCGCCGTAAGAAAAAGCGGGTCGGCCCAAGACCCATCCTGTCAGCCGGGATTGGCGGCGTTGGGGATCCTCGGAAGCCATTCTCGTGAGTATTTGACTCGCAGTATCTGCCCTACGCTGTAGCCTCAATACTGAAGCCCCCCCTACAATCACCAGAATGGCTTGTTCTACTCTTGCGTCTTTTTTTTGTTGGGTACTTTGCTTGACGCTCTTCGTTTTGTTGACGACACCACCACCACCACCATCATCATCACCCCCCCCCTGTCCCGAATGGCTAAATGGCTCGTAACCAGGATTTTTTACAACCTCCAATAATGCAATGATAGTGGCAGATGTGTTAGCTGGACAACCTAAACATGTCTGATCACATTGAAACTAGATAACGTGTCCTGCTCGATGATGTAATGGGGTTTGTGGTTTTCTTACTTCCCCGGCTCACATTTCCCCATACTTTACTTTACTTTACGGGAATGACCACGATTCTTCCCACCAAATAACTAGTAATTTGTTCTGGATAGTTCTGGGTTCAGGTACCCCTGCTTGCTATCTACGACTGTAGTAGTGGTAGTATTATAACTGTCATGTATGTAGTAGAGGGGATGGTAACATGGCAGCACTACTCTATCTAGTATCTACATACAATATGCTGGAAGCCTAAACCTAAGGTACATACCACAGATTGATGGGAAGGGCGATATACCTACTTGGGTAGGTGCCCGTATGATTCCAGAAGCATACTTTTCATACTTTCCAAGTAATATTATCCGTCGTAGTATACCGCCGTTTGATCTTTCGGTGAGCGGCCAGCGAAATGGAAAGAAAAACCTCCTTTGAATTTACGGGGCCTCGTGCATACGCATCGGCCCAGTCCCTGGCCGCAATTGGGACCTCCAGTTTGCTGATCCAGCAGACGGATGTAGGATCCACCCGCTTTAGCCCCAACCAGACCACCAGAACCACCTCCCGGTTCGATGTGTACGCAGTATCAATCAGAATGCCCTTGCCCCCGTAATACGGAGAACCGTGGTCTCGGTGTTGCTCAGACGGTCTATTTCGGTTTTTAAACATATACTAAACTGATTCAAGACATTTCTGCATGCTCCGATTCTTGCCTACAACTCTCCTCTTTGGCAGCCAACGGAGTCCTCCGATTAGTTAGCCGAACAGGTGACAGTAGTAGTCACCAAGTTTGTTGTAAACAACTACGGAGTACTAGGTCCTTCCGACTCCTCTCCTAGTAGATACAGTAGTAGTATAGTGATCGGTCAATCAATCCCCCACGGAGTTTGTTGGGCGTTGGAATCTTTCACTAATCGCTTGATTCACCCGTCTTGTGAGCATAGTACTACTATACTCCGGACTCCGGACTCCGTAAGGATCAATCTTTCACTCTCCATCTCCATCTCCAATCTCAAAACTATAGACGAGAATCGGCTTCTGACTGCGCAATGTCATTTCGGGTTGCTCGCCACTAGTCCGGTCGAGTGAAACGCCCCCCCCATAGCTGCTACTATTCTAGCGAAGTTGACCCATTTGTGATCCATCCTTGTCGAGATTTCCCCAACTGGGTTGTTTCGGACCAGGAGTTGCCTGCGCCAGGATCATTGATACTGTATGGTACCATCGATACGAACCCCATTCATACGCCCATACCAACTCTGTACTATGTACCTGCTCTTTCCTCACTTGGCCCCATAATTTTTCTACCCCCCCCCCATCAAGCTTCCCGATATCGTCCCCTCCTTTAGCTACTTTTTTTTTTGTCCGTTCCATTTTCTTTTTATCTTACATCTTGTTTTTCTCTCATCTCCCGTCTTTTTCCCATCAGTCCACTTCCTTTCTCCTCCTCTTCCTCCTCCCTCCAATTTCTCATTTCTCCATCTGGTTGCCTCGCTCTTCCAGCTTCCTACTCTTTCTTCTCTTCTCCCTCCTTCTCCCTCTACCATCCCTAAACCACACTTCCTTTGTGTTCAGGTCGCAGTCTCACGAAGCGGCTTGTCACTACTTCATTTATCTATTATCTCCCATACCTACCTAATAATATCCTCCTTTAATCCTTTCTCCTATTCTCAACTCTGTTGACAGGTATGTGGGTTGTTCAATATATTGTTATTACCATGGCGGATGCATTCCCCTCCCACGGATTCTTCCCACACAGCACCCGCTTTATGAAAACCTTCTTGATCTCTTGACACTGACATCTTGCTCGATCTCACAGAGTATTCAGCCAACATGCCTACCTCTGCTCCCCTCGTCAACACCGCCAATGGCGCCTCCGCCAACGACAACATCACCCGCTTCGACCCCCCCAGCCGTGTGCGCTCTCCCCTCAGCAACGCCCTCTTCCACAACAAGACGAGATGTTTCGTATAGTAAGTTGTGGTCTATAGCCGTGCTCAATTGCTCTGGCTGACAACCTGCCACAGTGGTATGCAGCCCCGTGCTGTCCAGGGTATGCTTGACTTCGACTTCATCTGCAAGCGTTCCACTCCCTCCGTCGCCGGTATCATCTACACCTTCGGTGGCCAGTTCGTGAGCAAGATGTACGGCAAACCAGGTCCCATATCCTGAATTGAGATACTGATGCAATTACAGGTACTGGGGTACCAGCGAGACTCTTCTCCCCGTCTACCAGGATGTCTCCAAGGCCATGGCCAAGCACCCTGACGTTGACACCGTTGTCAACTTCGCCTCTTCCCGTTCCGTCTACAGCTCCACCATGGAGCTCATGGAGTGCCCCCAGATCCGCTCCATTGCCATCATTGCTGAGGGTGTCCCCGAGAGAGTAAGTTTTGCAAATCAGAGACACCATGTTGCTCTCCGCTAACAGCAGACCAGCGCGCTCGTGAGATCATGGTCAAGGCCAAGGAGAAGGGCATCACCATCATCGGACCTGCCACCGTCGGTGGTATCAAGCCCGGTGCCTTCAAGATCGGTAACACTGGTGGTATGATGGACAACATCGTTGCCTCCAAGCTCTACCGCAAGGGTTCCGTCGGTTACGTCTCCAAGTCCGGTGGTATGTCCAACGAACTCAACAACATCATCTCTCAGACCACCGACGGTGTCTACGAGGGTGTTGCCATTGGTGGTGACCGCTACCCCGGTACCACTTTCATCGACCACCTGCTCCGCTACCAGGCTGAGCCCGAGTGCAAGATCCTGGTTCTGCTGGGTGAGGTCGGTGGTGTTGAGGAGTACCGCGTCATCGAGGCCGTCAAGAACGGCACCATCACCAAGCCCATCGTCGCCTGGGCCATCGGTACCTGCGCTAGCATGTTCAAGACCGAGGTTCAGTTCGGTCACGCTGGTGCCTCCGCCAACTCCGACCTCGAGACTGCTGTTGCCAAGAACAAGGCCATGCGTGAGGCCGGTATCTTCGTCCCCGAGACCTTCGAGGACCTTCCCCAGACCCTCAAGGAGGTCTACGATGACCAGGTCAAGAAGGGTATCGTCCAGCCCCAGCCTGAGCCTGTCGTCCCTAAGATCCCCATCGACTACTCCTGGGCTCAGGAGCTGGGTCTCGTCCGTAAGCCCGCTGCTTTCATCTCCACCATCTCCGACGACCGTGGCCAGGAGCTCCTCTACGCCGGTATGCCCATCTCTGATGTCTTCCGTGAGGACATTGGCATTGGTGGTGTTATGTCTCTTCTGTGGTTCCGCCGCCGCCTCCCTGCCTACGCCAGCAAGTTCCTTGAGATGGTCCTCATGCTTACTGCTGACCACGGCCCTGCCGTGTCTGGTGCCATGAACACCATCATCACCACCCGTGCCGGCAAGGACTTGATCAGCGCTCTCGTCTCTGGTCTCCTGACCATCGGTTCTCGCTTCGGTGGTGCCCTGGACGGCGCTGCTGAGGAGTTCGCCAAGGCCTTCGACAAGGGCATGAGCCCCCGTGACTTCGTTGACACCATGCGCAAGGAGAACAAGCTGAGTAAGTGAACCTTCATCGTACCTGTAATGTCGAACAGCCTCGCTAACTATGCACAGTCCCCGGTATTGGTCACCGTGTCAAGTCCCGCAACAACCCCGATCTCCGTGTCGAGCTCGTCAAGGAGTTCGCCAAGAAGCACTTCCCCAGCACCAAGCTGCTCGACTACGCCATTGCCGTCGAGACTGTCACCACCTCCAAGAAGGACAACCTCATCCTCAACGTCGACGGTTGCGTCGCTGTCTGCTTCGTTGACCTGATGCGCAACTGCGGTGCCTTCTCTTCCGAGGAGGTTGAGGACTACATGAAGATGGGTGTCCTCAACGGTCTCTTCGTCCTTGGTCGTTCCATTGGTCTCATTGCCCACTACCTCGACCAGAAGAGACTCCGCACTGGTCTGTACAGACACCCCTGGGATGACATCACCTACCTTCTCCCCGCCCTCCAGAAGGGTGGCTCCGAGGGCCGTGTCGAGGTCAGCGTTTAATTTTCTACTTAATACATTTACATCTCATGGATTAGTCATAAAATCCGTCATTGTTGACGTCGGAGTTGTGATGGCCTGTTTTCTTTTCACCCATGTTTCTTTCTGCATCGGTTTGGTTCGCTTCATATCTCATCTATTTCAACTTACAATCTGTAGTGGCACATGTGGCATGACTCGCTGTTAAAGGTTGATGAATATCACGCAACGATTAAAGAAATGTGCATTCTATCAAAATCGTAGATCAATGTAGATGTATTGCTGTAGTGGACTGTTTTATGCATGATTAGTTGATCTGCGGTTCCCAAAGTATGTTTCTTCATCTGAGTAGGCGGTATATCCAGCGCAGGCCCACATGCGGCAGAAAAACGGCCTCTGCCCGCGCCGATCTGCTCAATATAACTGCCATCTTCCAGCTTTCAAACATAATCAATCGACGTCAAACTTCCCATTTAGACCACCGCCCAATTGTCGATAATACCACACGCGCATTCTACCAGGAGGTAGCGCCTAACAATCATCGCCCCAGAAATCATCCCGCAAACCAACTCCTACCAAATACCACCTATCAACCTACCAGCACTACAACACAACCACCTCGAACTTTCCTCCATATCTCCAAATACCACCAAAATACTAAACAATGGTCCGCCTCAAACACCGCTACATCCTCCTCGACATCCTCTACCCCGACCCCTCAACATGGCCCGCGGCCACCTCCCGCACCAAGAGCAACAACAACAATAACAACAATCCCCAATCCAAATCCAAATCGCAAGCACAGCTACAAATCCACTCGCCCACATCCGACGCCCTAACACCCGGTCTCCTAGCAAAGATGGTGCGAGAGGAAGTCTCCCTCATGTTTGGCGATTACGGTGTTGGTAGATTAGGTGGTGCTGGCGCGGGGGGTATTAGTGGTATGTTTGTTTCCTTCCCCCTCTATCTTTGATTTGTTTTGTGTTTTCTATTTGTTATGTGTTGTGATAGTGAGGCTGATGGATGGTTTGTGGGTGTATAGTGAAATATCTCTCCCCCGCTACTTCGACGGCGATTATTCGGTGTCCTCGCGCGTCGTTCAGGCTTGTCTGGACCGCGTTGACTTGCATGTCGCAGGTCCCTGGGTTTAGTGACCCTGGGTCATCGAAGAGGTCGAGTTCGACCAGGGCTTGTGTGTTTCGGGTTATTAGGGTGTCGGGGACGATGCGCAAGGCGGAGGAGGAGGCGATTCGTAGGGCCAGGAGGGAGATTGTGAGGTTGAGGGAGGCGGAGGAGAGTGGGGTTTTGGAGGGGTTGTTGGGTGGGTTGGTTGATGTGGGTGGGGAGGTGAGTACGCCGGGTACTGGGGGGGAGGGGGATGTGGATTTGGGTGTGGATGTGGATGTGGTGATGGAGAGTGAGGATGATGATTGATGATGGGCTGATGTGGATGGGAGTTATGTTTCAGGATGGGGCATGGGACTAGGTGCTGGGAGTTTGGTCTTGATCGTTTTCATTAGAGATACCCTATATTATACAGTGTGTGTGTGGATGGAATATAGATGCTGGGATAGATTCCATGTCATGTCATGATTTTCGTATAACCTTCACGCCGCCATCTGGTATCGACCCCCTGCCCAGATCGTCGTATTCGTCGTCATCATCGAAGTTCATATTGGGTTGCTTTGCTGATGCTTCTTCGGCTGCCTTTTCGTTGGCTTTCGCCTCTTCCTCCAGCTGCTTTAGCTCGTGCTCATCGTACGTGTCTTTCGCGTCGAGCCACCGCTCTTGCACGTCTCGGATGTCCATCTGTCCCAGGCCTTCTCGGACAGCAACCTGCCAGATGGAGTCGTTGGCACCCTCGGCGGGTCCGAAGACGTAGCCACTGGCACGGTCGATAACGTGCAGTAGATTCATCATGCTCTTCTTGTCCTCTACGGCTAGCGTCTCGAAGCTTACTAGTCCGAATTCCTCCACTAGGTCGATGATCGCGTTGTTGAGCGGTCCGAACTTTTCGTGTGATAGCCGTGACGATTCGGCTTCGAGGTGCGGTAGAAGGTAGCTGAGGTCTTGCACTTCTGTATAGTAGTCAAGGTTGAATGGCAGCTGGGAATAGTTCGATAGGTTGTCGATCTTGGTGAGGACGTTCAGGTGAGGTAGATCCATTTGGAGCATGGCGCGGAGGGAGAGGAGAAGGGCGGATATGTACATCGAGGGTAGAGTGAGGTTGTAGGAGTCAATGAGATGGATCACGATGAGCTGCGCAACGTTCGATATTAGTATTCGCATAGCATGTAACTCCGGATGGGGCGGGTAGAACATACTCTATAGCCCATCTTCTGCAATTTGAAGAATATGTTCCGGAGGGAAGAGTGGTGTGTGAACAGTTCAACTTGGCCTGGGCAGTCGAACAAGACGTAGTCCTCTATTGTATATAGACATTAGCGTTTGTTCCTGTAACATCTTCACGGCAGAATGCGCATACCTCCGAGATCCTTCAGTCCCTCCTCAAGCCAGTCAAAGTTCTCCTCTAATTCCTCCAGCGCATACAAAATACCCCCGTTAGGCCCCAGCTGATCCTCACTCATGATCTCCTCTAACGTGACAAGGTCGCGAACGTCCAGCGCGCACGGATATGATGTTTTATCATTTGCGGGGTCCAGATTCACAATGGAGCATTTGCGACCAATAGCTCCGAGGAACTGGTGCATGCCATTGCAGTAGGTTGACTTTCCGGCACCGGGGGGCCCTATCACGAGTTGCGCGAACGGCATGATGAAGATCTGCGCACAAGAATGTGTTCGATCCAGAGAATGTCCGACGTCAATGCAATCAATCGATGATGATGGCGGGGAGAATATTCCAGGGCGGTGGCGGATGGCAGAAAATGGTCTGAAGGTGAAGCTTCCATGACGACGGGCCGATCAACAACGATATACATTTGGGCTCGTTGAAGGTTCAAGCAAAGAATATGGCGTCAAGTAAGTCGCGTATTGTATATATGGCAACCATCCTCCACTGACAGGTACCAGATCAATTCTCTGTCGCGTCCCCGCCGACGGATGCTATCTCCGCCTTGAAGTTCTCGCCCGACCCCGACTCCACGCGAATCGTTGTTTCTTCATGGGATAAGAACGTGTATCTGTACGACCTGCGCGACGAGAATGGCGCCGTCGGAGAAGGAAAGTTGTTACAGAAGTTCGAGCATCGTGCTCCGGTGTTGGATGTGTGTTTCGGCGCAACCGAGGATGAGATCTACACGGCTGGCTTGGACTGGGACGTCAAGAAGTGAGTTCATGTCACGTCCGTTACCAATCGGCGCATCCTCATCCCATTCCCTGCTGACACCAAACAGAATTGATGTAGCATCATCCACCCAGACTGTCCTCAGCAGCCACGAGGCCGGCGTGCGCAGCGTCGTTTTCAGCAAGGAACACAACCTAGTAATATCCGCATCCTGGGACTCGACGTTGCATGTGCACCCGACGAACGATCCCGCCACAGCCCCCGCTATCATTCCCCTCCCCTCGAAGCCCTTCTCCATGTCTCTTACCGCTACGAAGCTCGTCGTCGCAATGGCTTCCCGCGCCCTACACATCTACGATCTGAAAGCATTGGCTATGCTCACCGCTCAGTCGGAGGGTACGGGCCCCAACAAGATTGAAATCGAGCCCTGGCAGCGAAGGGAGAGCAGCTTGAAGTTCATGACTCGCTCGGTGGCGTGCATGCCTGACGATGCAGGATACGCGTCATCCAGTATCGAGGGCCGTGTTGCGGTCGAATGGTTCGATCCGTCTGCTGAGTCGCAGGCCCGCAAATATGCCTTCAAGTGTCACAGACAGACGGCAGATGATGTCGACGTTGTCTACCCTGTTAATGCGCTGGCGTTCCACCCGGTTCATGGTACGTTTGCCTCTGGCGGTGGTGATGGAGTGGTCGCGCTTTGGGATGGTATCGCGAAGAGGAGAATCAGACAGTACCAAAAGTACCCGTCGAGTGTGGCTGCCGTGGACTTTAGCGGTAATGGAAAGTACCTCGCGATCGCGATCAGCCCGGGCTTCGAGGATGGGACAGATGATGTTGTCGAAGGGACGGTTAAGATCTTTGTACGTGAGCTTGGCGAGACGGAAGCGAAGGGGAAGGGCGCCAAATAAGCTTGAGTATATTGTCGCCTCATGAAACTAACTTACTTTGTCTTGATGACCGGCGTGCGGAGACTGGTGTTCTTGTTCTTACTTTTGGTTCGTTGATATCACAGTTACGAGGCACCAGGTTATAGAAAGCGTAAAATAGTCCGATTCGTGCTAACAGTCTACATGGTATCATTTGTACTTGTACTTTTCTTCTAATCTCTTGACGTATCGTATATGGCGTTAGGGAGCAGTCCCATTCAAGCAGCGGCCTTTCTGACGGACACCGAGCCGTCAGGCATACCGAAGTAAGCAGCAATAGGCTTCTGGCCTCCGACACCACCGAGCGCCTGCGCCTGAGGGCCCGTCACGCCAGAGAAGATACCCACGTCGAGAACACCGGGAATCTGCTTGATGGCCTGAGAGAGGGCGTGGACCTCCCACACGCCGTCCTTGCCACTACCGTCCTTTCCGGCAGCGACGTCTGCCTGGGTCAGCAGAGTCTTGAAGGGAGCGTCGATAATGTAGAAGGCCTGGTCGGTCTTCAATGGGCCTTGCTTGGCGTCGGAGTTCAAGCGGATAGCGGGGTCAATGCTGCCAATTTCCTTGAGAGCACCGAGAACGCGACGGGCGGCAATAGGAGCGACTTCGATGGGGATGTACTTCCAGCCAGTGAGCAGGCGGGATTGGAGCTTGCGGGAGTCTATCAACGGGAAGTTAGTGCGCATGTCCTCCAGACACTATCGATCGGCGTATAATATACTCACCAGCCACACAGATGAACTCCTTGGCCTGAAGAGCCACAATCTTCTCCTGGAAGAGACAAGCACCACCACCCTTGATCAGGTTCAGCTCATCATCGACCTCATCGGCACCATCGAAGGCAACATCCAGAACCGTGCCCTCGGGGAGGGCATCGAAGTCCACCGCGGTCAGACCAGCGCTGACAATCAGCTGCTTGGACTGGAAGCCGGTGGGGATGTATTTGGTGGCAGAGGTGTCTATTCCGGACTCCTTGATGGCCTCGACCACGTAGACAATGGTCGAACCACTGCCAATGCCGACGTATTTGGCGTCCTTGGGGTAGTGGTTCTCGACGGCAGCCTTACCGGCTGCGCGCTTTGCGGCTTCGACGACGCTGGCCATGGTGGAATGACAGCGAAAGGTAGCGTTGGGAAGGGAGAAGAGGGGCACAACGGGAGGAGACGAGTGATCTGGTCGTAAGCAGAGACGAACACGAGAATAAATAGAAGATGAGGGGAAACTGCCGAGCCGGGATCTGTTGTTTAAGATTAGTAGGCGGACTATTCCGGGGACAAGAAACCCTCGAATCGAGCCCCTGCAAATTCGGGGAGGAACCGTCAAATGTAGTGGATGCCCGCGGTGGGGGGAGATGCGACAAGCCCAGGGAAAGTTTTCCAGCAAAAGGATTGGACCACTTACAGGGATGACAGACAGCCACGCGGAAGTGCGAATCTCATGGCATAGCAATTGAGATCTTGACAGCTTATATCATCCGCTTACAGAGTAGTTAACTTAGTTACTAGTCGTAGATTCGTCTGATAAATGCAGCGAGTGACAGATTGTTGTTCGGCGTCTTTTCCTCCGGCGGGGTTTGTGTCGTCATAGTATTGGCAGCCTCAGGCATACAGGCAGCAAGGCCACCAGCAGCTCTTGTGGGTCCGTGCATCACATCGATCATGTGACTACAGCCAACATATGGATTCCATCGCTCTTACTTGATCGGAATATCAATACCTCAACAAGTCATCGGTCCATTCGGGTGCTTGTGATCGTGTTGCTCCATCTTCTTACAACCAGGGATAGTCACCGGAACATTATTCCAGCTTGTCGATTCCCCTCCTTTCGACCTAACTCGTCTTTGTCTATCTCCGTCTCTTCTCCGCTTTAGCCCCTCATGGCAGAGGCCTTCCCGAGTGCTTTGGTTGGACCGTCCTCGAAAGAGAGGAAATATGATCGCCAATTGCGCTTGTGGGCAGCAAGTGGACAGCAAGCTCTAGAAGAGTCCCGCGTGCTTCTCGTCAACTCTGACGAACCCTGGGGCAAGCACAACACGGGTGTATCCGGTGTAGTCGGCGTGGAAACCCTTAAGAATCTTGTACTTCCTGGAGTCGGAGGTTTCACGATTGTGGACCCTGCAGTTGTCACCGAGCCGGACCTCGGGGTCAACTTTTTCTTGGAAGAAGAGAGCTTGGGCAAGTCCCGAGCCGAGGAGACCTGTCGATTGCTACGAGAACTAAACCCGGACGTAGATGGAAGCTTCTATACTAAGGTGACTTCATCCACCCCAACTGCTCGATCCTGTTGCAGAGCTAACGAAGACTGAGCACAAGTCAATCTCAGAACTGCTGAAGGACCCTGAGTTTCTTCCGCAGCACAAGCTGGTCTTGGTGTCTGGACCGGTAAAACGCCCTTCTTTGGAGGCCATTTGCAAGGCTGCTAAAGAGTTTGGCATCCCAGTAATCTACACACGCTCGGTTGGATTCTATTCCACCTTCTCTCTCCAGCTCCCGGCCGCATTCCCTATAGTAGAGACACATCCAGATCCTGAAAGCACACAGGATCTCCGTCTCCTAAACCCGTGGCCTGAGTTGGCAGCGGCCGGTGCTAGCATTCGCAACCTGGACAGCCTGGATGATCACCAGCATGGCCATGTCCCGTACATTCTGCTTCTTCTGCACCACCTAGAACAATGGAAAGAAGCGCACGATGGCCAGGTGCCATCGAATTACAAAGAGAAATCAGAATTCAGGGAACTGGTGCGGTCGAGTGCAAGAACAAGCAACCCCGAAGGTGGAGAGGAGAACTATGATGAGGCTGTTGCCGCAGTTTTGAAGACCTTGAACCCATTCAGCTTACGCAGTTCCCTTCGTGAGATCTTCGAGATGGAAGAATGCAAGCACCCAGCCCCGGACTCGGCCAACTTCTGGATTATCGCGGCGGCCATCCGTGAATACTACCATAGACACAGTTTACTTCCTTTACCGGGCTCTCTACCCGACATGAAGGCTCAATCAGCCGACTATGTTTCTCTTCAGAACATCTACAAGTCAAAGGCTCGCAAGGACATAGAAGAAGTTACTCAGATCGTCCGAAGCCTTGAAGCACAGCTTGGACCACGCCCGGCCCCAGCTTCGGACAAGGATATTGAGGTCTTCTGCAAGAATGCGGCTCACATCAAGGTTATCCATGGCCGCGATATTCCGATAGTGGATGGGGAGGCAACTACTCTAAAGGCGATTCGGAACAACATTGATATTCCAGACTCCCTTGTGCCGACCTTCCTTGCCTTCCAGGCCCTGGATGACATAATCACCGACATCCAAGCGGGCAAGATATCAGAGGAGGCCTTGGATGATGAGAAGGTGTGGGACTCTGCAATAGACCGCATCCTTGGTGCGCTTCACCCTGAAGGTGCATCCACTATTGAGGACGGAGACGCGAGGGAGCGAATCCTACAAGCGGCACAGGAGCTACGGAGGACGCAAGGCGGTGAACTACACAACATCTCCTCGCTCACCGGAGGACTAGTCGCGCAGGAGGCGCTCAAAGTAATTACCAGGCAGTATGTGCCCTTGGATAACACTTGCATTTTTGACGGGGTGCGCAGCCGCAGCGAGATGTACAAGCTATGAAGACGGTGGCGAATATGAAACCTGCAGTAGCCCCCATAAGGCAGCATTATGCCATGAGTCACGAAAATCAATACGCCACTTCACAATTGGTCAACCATTATTACTTCATATTCTGACCATTTGTATTCGTAATAACATGTAGATATTTCAACCCGTCCCGCTGGTGAGCCTGTGACCCATCGATAAGACTGGGCTCGGGTCCCGCGGGCGCCGAGCAGATCGCATAGCAACAGGATTTGACCCTGATCGGCCACTCCCTCGTACACGTATAACTAGACCTCAACTCCTGACACAAAGTAAATCTCATTTAGTTAATCTACTGGTATTAAGTAATCATCCTGATCTGCATTACACTAAAACATTTTGTTAAAACCACACATACCCGCCGAAGCATTGCAGAAAGTCAGTCGGTCCCGATGTTGCAGAACGACCCAGTCCCATCCAAGCAGTTCTAGTACATACATACATACAGCCTTATAACATGACCTGGAATCTGCGTGGCTTAGTGCCAGGGCAGGATGACACCAAGCCACCGGTATTCTTGAAGTGGAGGTCATCTAATGCGTTTATTATCTTCGTGGTGGTTTTTGCTGTCTTCACGGTATGCTTTGCTTTTCTTTACTTAATTTGGCTTGGTATCTTGACCCACCTGCTAACTATCGGATGTTGGATAGGATGTTTTACTTTATGGACTGGTACGTGGCTTGATGTACCATACCATTGGATTAACTATGTCTGGGTTCAGATTACTGATGTTGAAGTCAATCGTAGATTGTCCCCGTGGCTCCTACCGCTTTACATGAAAGGGTCGGGATGTCTGTTGATCAGGGTGAGTTGACCATTTCTGTTATATAGATGGTGACTTGATGCTGACTATAAGGGTGGGGTAGAACAATCATGGACGTCTATCTTGTTAGCATTGTATGGCGCAGCGCTATTAGCAGCATCGCGTGAGTATCACCCTTGCAATATCGTTTCAAAGAATGTTCATGCTAATCCTTGTAATATTCAGCCGTTGCGGGCTACATCGCCGACCGCTTTGAATCTCGATGGTGGCCACTCATTGTCGGATTGCTGGCGCTGGGCGCTTCCACGGCTCTACTCTGTGTAGGGACTCACCTTAGTCTCTGGATCATTGGCCGTATCTTCCAGGGCGCATCCGCAGCGGTTGTATGGACGGTCGGAGCCGCGTTGCTGGTCGACACGGTGGGAAAAGATGGCCTTGGACAGGCAATGGGCTATATCGGCATGGGTATGACCTTTGGAATCATGGGTGGGCCGCTTCTTGGTGGTGTTATTTACGCCCGTGGCGGATACTATGCCGTCTTTGCTCTGGCGTTTGCTCTCGTCGGTGTGGATATTGTTTTGCGGTTGGTTATGATCGAGAAGAAGCATGCTGTGAAGTGGTTGCAACAGGAGAAGGAACAAGATCCGGATATTTCGCCGTCTGAAACCACGGAGAAGTGCTCTGATGTGGAAGATGTTACTGATCGTTTGCCCACTGGTGTATCTGATGATAAGTCCAAGAAACCGGTTGCAACCGGACAGCAGGCTGCTGAAAGTGCTGGACATGCGAGTCCCAAGAAGACTAGAAGCGCTGTTCTTACTCTTCTTGCTTCAGAGCGCATGATAGTCACCATCTGGGCTTACTTCATCGTCTCCGTGGTCCTGACTTCGTTTGACAGCGTCCTTCCTCTGTTTGTCGAGGACACCTTTGGCTGGGACCAGACAGGCCAGGGGCTGATTTTCGTGCCCTTGTCCGTCCCTCATATTTCCGATCCATTCTTCGGCTGGATCAACGACAAGTTTGTGAATGCACGACGCTACATGGCGGCAGGAGCATTGTTCTCCACTATACCTTTCATGGTGCTGCTCCGTCTTGTCACGCACGACTCCATTGGCCAGAAAGTGTTGTTATGCGCATTACTGGTCCTCATCGGCTTTTGTATAGCCTCGTTGATGCCTCCCCTGTTGGTTGAGGCGTCATACATTGTGGAGGAAAAGGAAGCACAGGACCCGAATATCTTCGGTAAGGGTGGTGCCATGGCTTTGTCATATGGCATCCTCAATTCCGCGTATGCTGCTGGAACCATTGTTGGTCCGTTCTTTGCAGGCTTTATCCGGGAAAATGCGGGCTGGAAGACCATGACGTGGGCTTTGGCCTTGCTGACTGGTGTATCTGGTGTGCCGATTTTGTTGTTCTTGGGAGGGTTTCTGTTCAGGAAGAAGCGAAGTGAAACGGCTGCATCGGAAGAGTGATTGACCATGAAGAAGGGGAAAAGAAAGAAATGGGGTTAAGCGGTTTAGCATAAAATGGTGTATATACATAGTGGTAATGTCTGGTAAAATAGTCTCGCCTCAATAGATATGAACTTACATGACTCTTCATGGAAACAAGCATATCGCAGATGGTAATGACTGAGGTAAAGGATAGATAATTGCCAGGATTTGTCGTTCTGAGTGGAAAGAGAAGGAACGACAACCCGGTTTCAACTGCCCGTTTCGGAGAATCAGATCAGTGAGACTAAGTACTAGTGAAACGGCAAGAAAACTATTCCCGCCTCCGTGTCTTCGAACCGAGACCAGCCAGGAACCAGAAAGATCGACCAAAAGTAGAAAAGAAAGACCCAACTTTGTGCAGCGGGTGGATCTCCCCGCAACAGCCCCACCTCATGACGGATTGGGGGGGGCGACGGCCAGCCCCAAGTTGCCCTCAATCCAGCCAGTCACCCAGCCAGACAGCTCGGATATCGGCATTTCCTGGTGAATCATGAGCCGGATCAGAAGGGATGAATGCTGAGAAATCACTGACGAAGACGAAGCTGAGCTAGAATGTTTCGTCATAGGAAATTTGGCGAGCCGGTGGCACCATCCCCGCCTGTCTTTCCGGCTGGACTGTCCTGTATATTGACCTCGGTCATACTTCCTCTTCTTCGCGTGTAGCATACTATGAAAGTACTGGCAAAATGGCATCTCCGCTAGTGCAACATCAGGGTCTTCGTGCAACGTTTACGGGTATTGAGAGGGGGTCGGAGGGAGTCACGGTGAATGAGTTTCGGGGTATCAAGTACGCGTCTGTCCCCGCGCGGTTTGAGCGGGCTCAGCCGGTGGATGACTTTGGGGATGCTGTGGTTGATGCTTCTCAATATGGGTACTGCTCTGAATCCTTTCTATGCTGGACGGGAACGCGTGGATGAGTGCTGATATTGGATTCAATCTTGGGTAGGCCGAGGTGTCCACAGGTCGATGTTGACGTTCGCCATTTGCTGCGCATCCCGGAGGACTTTCCAATTGGCAAAGAGCCTGAGGATGAGTTTGAATGTTTGAACTTGGATATTACCTGTCCTCCGGTGTCTTCTGCTAAGGAACCTCTTCCTGTGCTTTTGTGGATTTACGGTACGTAAAGTCATATGATCTTTCTATACTGTCTAGAAAGCAATTGCTCATACGTCGTACAGGAGGATCCCAGGTGGTGACGTTTTGCTCAGCTGCATCGAAGATCTGTGGTAAGTGAAGCCGAGAGGGTTCCATCCTCAGGAATTGACAACAGAGTCAATAGATCCCATAAAGATCGTCGCGGACTCTATAAAAACCGGCCAGCCTATCATCTTCGTTTCAATCAACTACCGACTCAATATCTTCAGCTTTGGTAACGGCAAGGAGAAGAACCTTGCTGTCAAGGATCAGAAACTGGGTATCGAATGGGTGCGGAACAACATCTCCGCCTTTGGAGGCGACCCAGTATGTACTACGGCGCGTGGTGGTCTGTCTACTAAAGCTAATCGGTATCCCTACAGAACAACATCACATTGGCTGGAGAGAGTGCTGGGGCGGTATACACTCATGCTCATTTAGTCACTGGTACACCCGTTAAGAGGGCTGTTCTGGCTTCTGGATCCCTCTATCTCTCTTCTCCCTTGCCGGTTGAGAAGGGTCAAGGTCTCATCAAGGCGCTGGAAGCCAAGGTGCAGGAACTGGGCGAGCCGTCGCTCCGGCTGTCGTCGGTGCCCGCTCTATTGCAGGCCTTGAAGGAGTGCAATGTGAACACCATGTGGATACAAGAGGATGAGGACTTTCAAGGATGGGAAGGCAAGTCGGAGTTGGTGGAAGAACTCATGATTGGTGATACGGAGTATGAGGTGGGTGATCCTTCATCGCAGTATTTGAAATCACTTACTTATCTCCGTGCAGTCGGTCATCTGGAGGAACGGAATCGAGACATTCGATGGAGAAGCCATTACTGCAGCGTTTGAGCAGGATGAGAAATGGGGCACAAAGTTACGCAAAATGTATCAGGTTGTGGCTGATCGACCAACCGCCTGCAAGCTGGGTGCACTGGATCTTGTGAATGATGTCCGTTATACGCTGCCGGTGGAGGTCGTAGCCGAGAAACTGCAGGCAACAGGGAAACGAGTCTACAAGTATGTGGTTGACCAGGCCAACCCGTGGCAGGCATCCAGCCGAGCCCATCATGCCGTTGACCTGCTGTTCCTGTTTGATGGCGTTGACCTGTCTTTCAACCCTGCTGCACAAGCTGTCGGTCAGGAGATGCGGAAGCGTTGGGTACAGTTCGTCAACGGGGGTAGTCCGTGGTCTACAGAGCGAAGATTCGCCTACGGACCTTTGGGGAGCTGTGGAGAGATTTCTGAAGCGCAGTTTGCGTCCAGAAGACGGGTCGAGCATGTTCAAGCTCTTAGAGAGGCTGGGATGGGTGTCTATATGCCTATTGTATTTGCCTTGACGGCAGGCAAGATTAGCTTGTTGAATTAGACGGCGATCTACTCCATAATTTCGATGGCGATATATAGAAGAATTTTCAAATACAATGCCTTTAACACTTCCTATACTATTATTACTTTTGTTTGTGTCACCGTAAGCTGTGAGCTATTGAATCCAAAGTAGATATTACTTTTTGGAGGATATAGTATACATCGGCAATTCCAGCGATGACTGCTACCCGGGGGTGTCCCCGCAAGCGCAAAGGCGGGCGAACTTCCCCACCGTTACTCAGGCCTGACTCATGTGGGGTCGCTCCACTGGCTGATGCCTGAGGTGC